GTGAATGTCTTATAGATGTGAATTTATCTGCCTTCTGCAGTGAAACTCTCTTTCAGAAAGGAAGAAATGTTATATTTAGTTCATTTCCGGTTGTATCCATTTCCACCAGACTAATTAATTCCCCTGATTCTCATCCTAAAATCGATCAACGCTTGACCTTCAGCATGAATAATCTTCACATCTAAGAAATGGTTAAGCAGAAAGTCCAGATTGAAATTAATGCCAGAAAAGGAGATTGTATAAAGTAATGTAACTTATGGCTTGATATCAATTTGAAAGAAGTACGCATTTGCCCTACTAGAAAAATGGTTTGCATCCCCAATTATACCCCTGCGTTATTTCTGACAAATTTATAAATATGATTTTTATACGTTTTTGCACCAAACTATATGTCAGAAAGCACCAAATAAATTCAATTTTTCAAACATTTTATTGGGAGAACTCTCTCAGACGAGTTACTGCATTTTGAATTCAGCCTCGACAGTTGTCTCCGAAATGAGTTAGTTTGCCCTCAAATAAGGACAAGTTCGGTGTGAGGCCTTACTTTGTCAACAATATCAATTGACATAAAAAATAAAGAATACAGGCATTCAGAAAATAATATCACGTGCATATTATCACTTTGGTACGGTGAAAGAGGGGGAATGTGTCGAAATGGGCATGTAAGAAGATGAGAAAAATGTAAGGGAAGCAACTCTTTATTCGTAGTATAAATATGTGGCACAGACTAAAATGGTCTTCTTTTCTATTTACATCTGTGAAAGTGTTGCAGGTAAGATGGTTAAAAATGGGTTCCCTTATTTTCATTTATGAAAATGAAAATGCTAATACTTATATGAATAGAAAGTAGATGTGTTCTAATGACTTTGAAAAATTCCAGTTTGTCTCACATATCCATAATTAATTCATAATTAGCTAAATTAGAAGAGAATTACCAACGAGTGACCGATCAAGAAAGGTCATAAAGTCTTTTTTGTTTATCCAGACTGTACATACATGGACATTTATGGTTAGAATTCTTAAATAACTGCCATAAGAACATAATGATATGATGACGAATACATGATATGTCATTAGAAATACAAATTAATCAAATAGTTTGCTTAATTTGACACTAATAAATACAGAAACACATCTTTAAGAAAGGAATAAAGTGGAAAATGATCTATTCTATAATCTATTCAAAAACAATCAATTAATAGGGAAGAAGAAAGACAGATTAAAATCAAATAGGTAGGATGTGACTCTTTATATCCACATACAACTTAATATGTATTTTAGAAGGATACTGCCTCTTAGAAAGGAAATACAGTTTAAAGCCTCAAACTTGGTCAATAAGTGTATATATTCATCAGTTGGATTAACCAGGTGCCATTACCTGGCAAAAGAATCTCTGTATTATATACGACACAATATCCATTCAACTAAATAATTATCGATTATGTAAGCAGCTTTAAATGGCCATATAGTCCGTTGGCTTCTAAGGGGTCTCTTGGCAGCCCCTAGACCCCCAGCCATGAGGGTTTTGGCCCTTGCCTCGGAGATACGCCTCTCATCCCCCCCCCCCCCCCCCGCACCTTCATGATACGCCACTGTGTTAGTTATATTTATCCCTGTGTACGTTATAATTTTAAGGCTTATTTTGTTATTTGGTCTTACGTTAACAATGAACAGTTCGTTAAATTAATACACATGTACTTTTAAATATATTCTTCATCCAACCATTCATATACAAAAAGACTGAATATTATTTGACTGAATATAAGTAATTGTGATATCATGATAACAATAAGGTCGACAATTATGAACTGAATGTCACTTTCACCCGTCGGGAAGATATCTCTTTAATGTAAATTGTTTAAGTAACATATTTATAACTATACTGTAACCGGTCAAAGGTATTAAAAAAATGCCACCATCATATAGGACAGACTTCAGATCCGACATGAGAAAGAAGGTCCAAGCAATGAAACCTATAATATTTTGCAATGACAATTTCAATTAACTCATAATGATAACTATAGCCCATTCTTATAAGGTGTATACTTTTTAGTATGCAGTGATAAGTGATAAAAGCAAAGAGAACTTACGTAAAAGTAAAGCATCAATATAGATCCGACCGAAAAATTCTACCAGTGTTGCTATACAAGTAAACTTAAATCTGAAATATGATGTCGAATTCTACTCTTCTCATCTTAGTGTATATCTTGAAAAATCATTGGAGTAAAAGTTAAAAATACAATGTTATTTCGGAGTTATTGGCCTATGAATGAATATAATAAAGACAAAATTCCCCAAAGAGACCCCTTATCATTAGCTGTGTAATATAATAAAACCTTATCTCTTGCGTCTTCTGTGTGGTTTTAGCCTAAGAGATATCTTTCTTGCGGAAAGTGAAAGTCAACACGAAATCGATTGAACTTTGCAACATTTTATATCTTTGCCAAAAAATGTTGTCAGTGATTTTATAAAAACATCATTATAACAGTTAAATATTTTGTTAAATGTTTTCAGCTGTTCTTTGTTCATCTTCAATCTTTATTCCTACTTTTATGTACGCTGATTTATAAACCACGTCACACCGGACTGCGACCATTTCCGATCTTCCGGAGATTACTAGGTCGCTGTCAAACGTGAGGAAACTTAGAGAAAATTATAAACTTAAAAACAGTCGAACCTATTCCGCGATTTTTCAACTATATTACATCCTGACGTTGTTGTAGCGTCATTGCCACGCTTGTACAGCGCTTTTTTACATGGAGAAGCTATAACGCTTGTCTGTTGAACTTCTGGATCTGATAGCGCTTTCCAGAACAGATCGCCGAATCTTGACGCTTGTTTTAACATTTCTCAAATAAACGCCATGCCTTGGCGAATAGTGGTGACAATTATTAATGTCAGGCAAAGCGATTTATCGCCAAACAATCTGCATCATTGACAATGGGAACCGGGCATTTGATTGTTAATGTGTACGTGTACGAATGAAAGATTACCACTAAATATTAGAAATAATGTTCTTTTCTTGTAAAAGTTCAAATAAAGTTTGATAACAACTATTTAGTTGTCTATTACATAGTATTCATTCAACAGAACTAATAACATTCCATACAACCACAAATTTACAGCAAAGGTATACGTACGACCTACGACGTACGATTAAATGAAATGATAAATTAAATATATTCAAGTGAACGAATGAAATGACCACCTTATGACGAATATTATAAAGCTCTAGGCTTACATATCGAAAGAACGAAGCGAAACGAAACGAAAAGAAGTAGGACTCCGTGCACTGAGCCTAAATCTTGTATTATATTATTATGCTTTACTAACTCTGGGCAGACAGCGAAACGAAATCCCGTGCAATGGGTAGCAAGACAATAAATCCACATTATGACATAATATCCACAAAACGAAGAACCGAAATGGCCTCAAATGGGCTTACCTACGAAGCATAAAATATCAACAATGAACGAGTAGGCCTATTATAACAAATATGCATGACAATCACATATAAAGGTTCAAAAATGAATAAATACCAAATTTGTTGTCCACCACGGTTCATAAAACTAAATTCTTGTTATATAACAAGGCGAAATCGAGCGAAGAATTGAAAATAAATATTCAGGAAAGCATGTTAACCATAAAACGGAAGTAAGTTCGTTATGACCAGAAGACAAGTTGGGCAATGTCCGTTTGCGCTCTACAACAATTACACGATATCTGACGTGTCCTACACACTTATATTTTGTGGCGACCACGTTTTGGACCAATTTTTCGTCGCAGTAGCAGCGCAGTGAGAACGCTTTTCTGGTATATTGGCGCCATAATGCCCCTGTCACACCGGAAAGGCGTCCTCTCTGTACTGCTACGGCGACGAAAATACTGCTAAAGTTTTAAGGCGTGGTATGAGCATGTAGGAAACGCCAGAAATGATGTGGTGGTCTCCAATGTCGCCAATGATCGCCCTGTCGCGGTCTTTGCTTTGGAAATGTCCAGTACAAACTCCAAGTTCCGGAGATCTGTTCCTGAACGCGTTGGCATTGCATGAACGCATTATGAACGCAGTACACACTGAGAGGTTAAATGGACCGACTCCGGAAATTCATTTGCCATCTGTTCCTATGTTAAATCTTGAAATGCAACCTTCTATAAAAATCCAATATATCTTGAGCTTGCCAAACTTCGATATTTAACCAACATCTGCTCGACTGTCACTGCACACAAAAGAATTTTAATTGAGATTTATCCTGCGTGTTAATCTCAATCATATTATACAATCGCTTGCATTTATTTAAGTGGAATGGTTCCAGAAAAGTAAATTATTTCATTCCATGTATTTTGGTTACCTCCCTTTCAACACATAATTTTAGTTAATATAGTCGAGCAAAAGTTTCTGTGTTGGCTACACCCAAGCGATTCAAAAGATACACAAGAGCAGTTCTCTATTATTAAGGATAAGAAATAATATAATATATTTTGTAATAATAGTAATATATATGTACAGAATACGGACATATAGCAAAACACATCAATTCAGTAATTAGTACCCAGGTAAAAATAATAGTTCTTAATTTAAAATAAAAAGTGAAATATGTCGTATGTGAGCCACCGTACATAACAGCAGCTAATTTTTTTGCACGCGATAGTAGAATGTCAGTGGTATGCTCATTAATGTCGTTTGTTAGGTATATTTATTGGAACGATAGTTTTGATTAATACTGGTTTTAAATCAATACATTGAGTTTTCTGCTTGTGGGACGTTTAGACTTTAAGTCGCCATTCGTTTCTGTAAAGTTCATAAAGCCTTAAAGGCGTTAACTTTAGTTTAGACCATAACTCCTTTGACCTTAGACGTGATATAACCAACTAAAATGTTGATTAGACCACGGGGACAGGACTACTTTTTTTCAACATTTTATTTACTCACAAACACAAATTAAGAATAATGTTAACATTTCTTCGTTTTGAATTGTCAGCTTCGGGTTCTTCATATTCGACTAATTGGCGTTTAGATATGTAGATGGCATATTCGTCTGAATTACTTTACTAACTATTGCATCTTGTATCGTATCTGCTCGTTTATACTGACGAATGGCGTTACTTCTGTGACCTGTGGTTTTTGCGATCAATTGTTCATCAACACCACATCGAAATAACCGTGTTGCATATGTAGCTCGAAGAGAATGGTTGGTATACAAACCTAAAAATAGAAAATTGCAACAAGAGTATTTATTTATAATTAAGCAGTCCTTTTTTTGTGAGAACGGTAAATTAAAATAAAATTATGTGCATTGATATTGAATCACACACCTGACATCATAGCTATATTAGCCAAAATCTCTCCCATATCAAAGGTTATTCCTACGATCATAGAACGAAATTACCAGTTAAACCTGATGCTTTATACAATCTCTGCACGGTCTTAGCCAATGTTTTCTGTCCAACAGGGACCACCGAGTACCAGGCCGATTCTGTTGGCTTTGTTAATGGTCTTAAATATACAACTGTTGCAGCATTCTCCGGTCTCAGTTGAAGATATCGTTCGTACAGTTTAACGATACATCTTGTTGGGTCTTCATGGACATACGCAGTTACATATTTTGGCACCACTTTAAAATCTTTAAGACCACGTTGATTATTTTTACTGATTTTTTCGCTGTATTTGATATATGACTCCTGCTCATTAACACCTACTGACAATTGGTCTAATGTCAAATCTCTGTGCTCACCACCATATCTCAGTGCAAAGTTAAGTTCAAACAGGTACACACTTGTATCCAACAATGTTTTAGGATTGCAATCGCCTAGAATACCACGCATCCACATACTATTTTCAACTTGATTGGAAATAATGTCTGCCTGTTTAGTAATCATGTCATTACCCTTGCTTGCACTTATCTTCATAGCATTGTCCAACGTGTTTCTCAACTCGGCGAATATGGAATCCGATAAGAAATGCTATTCATGTGCACCTGTATGAGAAGTATAAGCTGTCTCAAAATCTTGGGTGGGTATTCAGAGCCATCTTCACTTCGGGCTTCAACTATGAATCGACTTAAACAATAACAGAGTTCGTCGTCATTCAGAAAGTCTAATTTACGGGTCACAAAACTAAGCTGGTAATCAGTTTTGCCAGCTCGTATTTTAGAGTTTCTACTTTTCCGCCAACACTCTAAACGTCTGCAAGCCCATTTAACACTTTTCTCTGTCGCTGGAGGTACGTGTTTTTTACTTATCTGTTTCTTCATCGTCCAATGGCTCAGAGAAGCGATTACTGTGCTGTTCGTCTGTTTCAACGTCACCAATATAAATATATAAATGCAGACTGATTTCACTTTTCACGAATCCATCCCGCACTGTCTCCAGAACTTTGATTGTCATCAAAATACAATTCAAAATTTGATCCATCATTTTCTTCGTAAGCAGGGTTACAAACACTTTGAGAAGATAAAGGCAAGTCGTCATCATTATCCATACTTGATATAATCTATGAATCCAAAAGGAAAGAAACGATAATCGTCGTCCGAAGCACAGTAACTACAACAAACTTTTGGCGAACGTCCGTGCAAAATTGAACTGATTTGTACCACGTGACTAAGTAAATGCATGCACTGTCCACACTAGAAAATGAGACAACAACGTCAACATGTGTAGAATATTAGGCTGCGTTTCCACCAAGTTTCACGTGACACGTGACATGTCATGTGTCACGTGACAAGAAATAGAAACATATGATGTTGGTAGGAACCGTTTCCATCAATGTCACTTTTCACGTTTCAAGTGTCACGCGTGAAATGGAACGTTTTTGAAGAATCAACATGTTCATTCTTTTTACCCGTGTCATGTTTCAAGTCTGACCGATCTGGGGTTTTCCTTGGGTTTTCCCCTGCTTTTACTTTCCCTTTTGTTAACTCCGAGTGTTCGTATCGAATTCAAAAAGAGCTTGTGTTTTGATCGTCTAAAATTAGTTATTTACGCTTGTCCTAAACATGAATGACTATAAGCACAATCTGATATGCCTTGTGCAGAAGACCCCACTTCTGTGGGACCCCAGAAATAAAGATTATAAAAACCAAGACGGAAGAAGACACCTGCACCATATTGAGCGCCTGCTGCAGTTTCTCTTCCTAGCTCGCCGGTACAACAGACATAGAGCAAGAATTTCCTCGTCAGACGAGTCGGACCGTCACCCATGGCGAACACAGGACGAATGCCATGACATGTGACATGTTCGATGTGAAATCCAGTGGAAACCCCTATTGTCACGTATCACGTGTCATGCATGACACATGACACGTGATACGTGTCACGTGAAACTTGGTGGAAACGCAGCCTAAATCACCGAAATACTTATCTGGTGAGTGAATAAAATGTTAAAAAGTAGTCCCGTCCCCGTGGAAACTTGGTGGAAACGCAGCCTAAATCACCGAAATACTTATCTGGTGTGAACATAACTATTTACATTAATGTCCACGTGACGTGAGTACAATTAGCACGTGTAATACTATTGTTGCAATTTTCTATTTTTAGGTTTGTATACCAACCATTCTCTTCGAGCTACATATGCAACACGGTTATTTCGATGTGGTGTTGATGAACAATTGATCGCAAAAGTGAGTGAGTGAATAAAATGTTAAAAAGTAGTCCCGTCCCCGTGAAACTTGGTGGAAACGCAGCCTAAATCACCGAAATACTTATCTGGTGTGAACATAACTATTTACATTAATGTCCACGTGACGTGAGTACAATTAGCACGTGTAATACTATTGTTGCAATTTTCTATTTTTAGGTTTGTATACCAACCATTCTCTTCGAGCTACATATGCAACACGGTAATTTCGATGTGGTGTTGATGAACAATTGATCGCAAAAACCACAGGTCACAGAAGTAACGCCATTCGTCAGTATAAACGAACAGATACGATACAAGATGCAATAGTTAGTAAAGTAATTCAGATGAATATGCCATCTGCATCTAAACGCCAATTAGTCGAATGTGAAGAACCCGAAGCTGACAATTCAAAACGAAGAAATGTTAACATTACTCTTAATTTTTTTATATGTAAAAAAAATTATTGTTATGTGTTTGTTGTGAGTGAATAAAATGTTAAAAAGTAGTCCCGTCCCCGTGGTCTTATCAACATTTTGGTTGGTTATACCACGTCTAAGGTCTAAAGCTTTATAAACCTTACAGAAACGAAGGGTGACTAAACGTCCCACAAGAAAACTCAATGTATTGATTTAAATCAGTATTAATCAAATCTATCGTTCCAATAAATATACAAACAAAAAATTAGCTGCTGTTATGTACGGTGGCTCACATACGACATATTTCACTTTTTATTTCAAATTAAGAACTATTATTTTTACCTGGGTACTAATTACTGAATTGGTGTGTTTTGCTATATGTCCGTATTCTGTACATGTATATTGCTATTATAATACATATATATAATATATTATATTATTTCTTATCCTTAATAATAGAATAATAATAATAATAATAATTTATATTAATCAGTGTCACCATCTTAACAAAAAAAAGTTTCATTAGGTCGAAAAAAATTCATGTCAGACAGCTTCGGTGTTTTTGATGAATGTCATCGCTGAAAAGGCCGCTTCGCCTCTTTAAAACAAGTACGATGGTGTAACCTATATTCGTGCATATAAGGTTTCAACAACGAATTTCGTCAAAATTAAAAAATGCAATTTTTTCATATCTTAGAAGTTATATATAAGATATTCTACAAAATAATCAATATTGGTTTGTTTCGATTTTCTTTATGAATCCCTCACTTTGACCCATTTTTCATGAGTAACCCAACTCGATGATGGCTGCAAAATGCGTCACCTAATGTACAATGTTTGATCTGTAAATAAGTCGCGAAAAACAGGTTGTATGGATACCCAGTGGTATAATTAACTTCTCTCAGTTTTTTTTTTATCAATTCATTATAACTAGTGACAATTCTTTCAAAGAATTGATTTAAAAAAAAAATAGCGACTGACAAAATAAGATACCCAACGTGATTTATTGCTATAAGTCATTGAAACAACATAAGAATATGGCCCATATTGTCTTCCATAGAATTTTTCTGCTGACACGAAATCCGCTAGTTGATCACGTGACTTCATTCGTTGGACAACATTCTAGCAGACGACATTTGAATTTCCACAGCTTGGGATTTTAAGGAAATTCGGCCGATAAAAAATGACGTTTGGTAATAACTGAAATCCGCCATTTTGTATTTGTCAAAGTATACATTAATACATTTTACCTTGCTTGAAACTACTGGATTCATTCTACTCGCTGAATTTGTAGAGTAACCCATGTTTATCAAAATAAGCTAATGCGAAGGTCACGCAAGGTCGGACATGTAAATTATTAATCATTCCCTGAGATGCATAAATAGGTTAGCACGAAATTAGGTTACTTGACTGTACTTGTGTGTTGTATTCATCATTTGAACTTCCAACCAATTTGGTGGGGTTTACCGAGATCGGCGGCTAGTTTCTAATGGGGCTTCAAAGATTTCGCTGCCGTACTTACCCAGCCAATTGAGTCAATTTAGAATCTAGATTCAATCCGTACTTTTTTACAAGAAAAGACGGGTTAATTGCTATGTGGTGGGTCAACGTCGCTTGATGAATGTACCCGACTAAACACTGATCATTCGAGTTCATCACATTCGACAAATCATACAGGAGTTTTCACAAAATGCGTCTGAATGACCTTTCTGTGTGTTTAAAAGAAACATTTCTACGTCAAAGAGGTGAATACACCTTTAATAAGATTAAACTTTCTACCTACAGTTAGCCTACTGCAAAGATCTATGAAAATCCATTCGTCGACTGTAGTCAAGCATTCGTTTCGGTCAGTTCACGACCGCCTGAAGGTATACCGAATTTAACTTAGACTATTTAACGAAGTTTCATTGTTGATAAAATTGTATTGTTAAAATATTTAATATAATAGGCATTAAGAAATTTAAACAATACAATTTATGGTTAAAAAGATGATATGAAATGTTTTCGACCTGTACTCCGGGGATTTTTTTTTAAAGACATGGATATTTAGTTATAATGGAATCTGTTGATACTTATCATCAGACCGATAATGGGTAGGCCTATATATTATATATATTATTTTTAAGGTGCTTATTGAATTTTAAAAATCTTATCAGATCAATTAAATTGGTTTCTCCTCTTATGTTATATTTTCAAAACACCAATGACACGTGTTCTTTCTAGAAAAGCGTGAGTGTTTGTCTGAAACGTTTAAAAGATGAGCACAGAATTTCACAAAGCTCTCTGTCGTAAGGAGTACAAGAAGGAAGATGGGCCTATTTTACCTACAAGTTTTCTCTGTCATAATCACCACATTAAGGATTGAATTGGTTTGGGGGATTTCAACTAAGTATGTCCAAACTAAAATATTTATTGAAAGCAGTTATTGTATTGAGGACGAGTTTAATAAAATGTTGGAAGAATCACCTGTGCAGAGTAAGGTACAATGTGGAGTTAAATGTACACTGAATGAAGATTGTCGAAGGTTTATGTTTGATAATAATTCCGGAATGTGTTCTTTGTACCAATCTGGTGAAAACTGCATCACCATAGACCAGAAAGCGGATCATAGCATGTGTTACATGCAGGTAAGTAGTCAAGATTTTACATTTTAAGCTAACACCAGATAGTAATAGATAGTAATCTAAGGCCCGGATTATTTGAACAAGAAGAGCTGGATTGGATTGAGACTTATAAACCCCATGTACCAAGTTGATAAAATTCAAATTGTATAAACACTTAAAACCGATTTGTAACTATAAACAGCTACAATACTGTCATTTTGGGGGGATTTTATTCTCGAAAGAGACTTTTAAATATATGAATGCCTGTGTATGATTGTTAGAGACATACCGACAACTGTCAAAATAGCTTTGGCATATGTTTCGGTCTATCTATAGGGGAAGACCATTTGAAGCCATTTCCCGTAAATTATTTTTTGCTTATTGTTATCAAATGCTTTTCTATAATTTTTACAGAAGAAACTTTGTAACGAGGTCAAATGTATACGATGTCCTATGGGTTATTATGGTGATGACTGTCAACATGTTATTCGGGGTAAGGAATGAGCGTGTCAATATCATTATGTTATATGTTTTTTTATTTTATATACTAATAATTACTGGTTTCATGTAAAAGTAAAATGTAAATAGCTGCTAAACTATCTGATATAACTCTTTTAGAGTTACTGGTCATAAGTGAAGTTTTGTGGTTCAAATAAAGTATCTGATAATATTCATTATATGATTTCAATAAAAATCAAGCTAGTTTCAATGTAGTGACCTCCAGTTCATATTCATTGAAGCTTTTACGTTCGCTTAGCGGTTCCGTCCTTCGAAACGGCGTCACGTTAATTTTGGTCCCAACCAAAATTTATGTAACCAGCTGAAAAAAATTAAAATTATAATTACAATATACAATGGATAATTGATACATTGTTATAATAAGGTTCCCTTATTTTCATTTATGAAAATGAAAATTCTAATACTTATATGAAGAGAAAGCAGAGGTGTTGTAAGGGTTGAAAAAAAAAACAGTTTGACTCACATATCCATAATTAATTCATAATTAGCTAAATTAGAAGAGAATTACCTGTAGAATTCCAATGAGTGACCGATCAAGAAAGGTCAAAAAGTCTTTTTAGTTTATCCAGACTGTACATACATGGACATTTATGATTGGTTAAAACTCTTTAATAATATGCAATAAGAACATAATGATTTGATTAAGAGTACATGATAATTCATTAGTTTTAATCAAATAGTTTGCTTAATTTGATATTTAAAAAATAAGGAAATCCATCTTTAACGCGTTTATATTCAAATAAATGGTTGCCAAAAGGCTCAGATTTTGACTGAAAATCTTCAAAAGGGCATATATTGAAATGTAAAAACAATATGAATTTACATAGCCATCTCTATAGTGTACTTTTAATTGTAAGATGGTCTCTGACAAGTACTCCGGTTACAGTAACCTTTTACGTTTCTGCTCTTTCTAATATGGATTATAACGATTCTTCATTATTTCAATAACAAATCAAATATCAACTGCACTTGCACTAACTTATTTACCTTTCGTTCTGTCTCAATTATGTTGTAAATATGAATAAAGTCTCATTGACCGAAAATGAGGAATCTATGTTATTGATTCAAAGGGAATTCATCAAACCCGTCAAAATTCGTTTGTGAACACAATAGAGACTTATAGTTTTCATCTGATTTAAATGAAACTTGGTATGATCATTTATAATGATGAGATCTTGGACATGTTCAAATTTGACGATCTTTCGATAAATGATATTTGAGTAATTGACCTTGACTTATGAAAAATGTGTTAAAATTTCTTTGTGAACACAATAGAGATTACAGTTTTCATCCGATTGTAATGAAACTTGGTGTGATCATTTATAATGATGAGATCTTGGACATGTTCAAATTTGACGATCTTTCGATAAATGATATTTGAGTAATTGATCTTGACTTATGAAAAATGTGTTAAAATTTCTTTGTGAACACAATAGAGATTACAGTTTTCATCCGATTGTAATGAAACTTGGTGTGATCATTTATAATGATGATCTTTGGTGTTTGAGTTATTACACTTGAAAAACGTGTTAAAATTTGTTTTTGAACGTGATAGAGGTGACAGTTTTTGTCAGAAGTTTATGAAATTATGTGTGTTTGACAAATGTTTTACAAATTAGATTTTTGGTACGATTTGACACAGATTGGCGACCGCCTTTGATATACTGAAAATGTATTAGGAAAGTGGGCGTATCTTGCTAGGCAACCAAATTCAATTCTGCGACGAAAAATTGTTAAGTCTCAAACTTCATTTGTATGAATTTGTACTTGGTGTACTTGGTATTTTTAGTGAATTTATGTAATTTAACTTAATTCGTTAAATTCAATTTATTTTCAGATTGTTCAGATGGAGTTCGAAGAAAGGTTGTACCTAACATACGAACTGTTTCCTATATAGACTTTAATGGTTTGATGGAAATTAAATGTGATTTTACTTCGCCTGGCTTTACCATGATACTTCATCGTACTACAAGATGTTTGTCTACGGATTTTAACAGAACCAAACATATTTATTCTTCTGGATTTGGTCAAAGATTTGGCAACTATTGGCTTGGTCTCCAAAATATTTTCGAATTGATACAAATTGAAGAACATGAGTATCACATTAGGGCAGTAAAAACAACTGAGGAAATTGAAGAATGCACATATTCAACTTTTAAAATAGAGAACGCTTCAGCTAATTATGTAATTGATCTAGGAACCTACAAACGACCTCCAGGCGGATTAGTCGACTGTCTAACAAGTTCTTTTTATAATATCAATGGTAGGCCGTTTTCTACCATAGATAATGACTTTAGCAACGGCTGTCCAGCTGCACTAAAGCATGGTGGTTGGTTTCTTTCCACAAATGATAGACCTTGTCCCGGAGTAGAAGTTAATATAGATCATGCTAAATGGTATGATAACAACTTTCGTATCACTTCATTCATGGAACTTCAGTTTAGGCTTAATCCGAAATCTTAAAAGAAACCACGGCAAAAGTATCCGAAAAATTTGGCTATTCAGACAATTTCAGGTGAATGAAAAGAGATTTCTACTGATGCATTTTTGTATACTGCTTTATCTGTAAATTGCTATTTAAGTATGGCCGCATGTGTATATACAATAAAATACGTTACTTTAAAACTTTATTTTTACTTTAAAAGGGAAAATATTCAGAGCATCTAAACACAGAAGAAAACAAATGTAGATGTAAATGTAATTCAGAAAGTGCCAGTATCGCACTCTAAAAAGTACAATTAGTTTACTCACGGTACGTGTTTGCTATCGAACCCGTCCATTTACTTTGTATACAACCAACTTTTTATGGAAGCCAACTGTGGCCATATTTACTCTCGAATTCTTGCCCACGAAAGAGCGAGGAAACTCGACTTCTTACCCACGAGAAAGCGAAGAAAAAGGCCTTAGTATTATATATTTTTCTCTTTTAAGGGGACGTCACACCATAGCCTATGCTAAAACCTCTGAGTTGCTTGTAAAATATATATTGTATAGGTAACAAACGGAATCGACATCAACAGGTTTTTTTATAACATGTCAACTGGTGCACTCAAATCATAGCGATCACGACTTGCGTGTGGTAGGAAATTCTAGGTTTTATAGTCTTAAGAAAGCAACAAACACGCAGAGGTTATGAAATCTTGAACATGTTAAATATAGTCTGCGAATGCCTGATCAACCTAAATGCGACAGGGACGCTAAGCACGCATCACGATCGAGACAGGTAAGCAACCTATGTGAGCGCAACACAAACATAACTAACACACAAATCAATACTTGAGAAAATACTGAATCGGCTACACTTTTTAGCCTGCTAAAGCCTACTCTGCGTGTGTCTGATCAGCTGCGTGCTTGTTGCACACTACAAACCTATTTAACATATGCTGCATATGAACTGCAATCGGCTAGCACACAACCATACGCTACTGGTGTGAGGGAAATTTTAAGCAACTTGTGTCTGCGATCAACTGCGTACTTGTGAAATTGAATTGGAGTTGTCAATATTATTCTATTTATAGCTCTGTGTACTTTGACACATCGCGCGCTACCTGGTGTAAGATGTCGGCATAACTTCCACGAAACGGCGTAAATTTACGAGTTGGTATTAATTCGCGCCACCTGGTGTAAGTTGCTGACTTAACTAGATTTTCCAAGAAACGACGTAAATTTGCGAGGTATTAATTCTTGATTTGGTTTTAGTTTCGTCGAATTTAGATAAGAATCTTTCAACTGTTTGACAAATTCGCAAACAAATTCAAAATCTGTGAAATGACTTTTTGCATTAATGGCGTTCCATATAAAACTCCATTCATTTCATTTTCATTTATAGTTTAAGTTAATGTCTTCAGATCAGACAATTGAATATTTCATGAATAAAATACTTGAATATTATTTCTATACTGGAATCATTTTAAAAAAAATACATGTAAATCCTTAACTTTAAAACCTGAGGGGTAAGGTCTGAACACAGATTTCAATATCAGTGAATATTGTTCACTCATAGCCTATTTTCTTTCCAAGATTGTGAAAAGGTATTTATTGAAAGTATTTTTGACTTCAAAAATATTATTGATAAGTTGGATACACTGTGTAACACACTTATCTGTTTCGACGGTCTTGGTATGGAATTTCTTCAAAAATGCTATAGTTAATACGACTTAAATTTTTATTTAACCTAATTTTAAAGACTAATTTGGCCTTTCAACATAATGGCTGCAAATGGATTTTCAAGATTGTTTGTTGGATTATAAATTTTTAAATCTTTTCTTATAATTTTCTTGCCTTAAACTTAAATATTTTTCTATTCAAATATGTTTATCGATTATTTTAAGTGATTTTCTATCAACTTACTATATCTTTGCCATTAGCTATTTTTTATAAATCTAAATTATAAAGTTTTTAAAAATTTCAAAACGATATAATATTTGCTGAAATTCAATAAGGTGTCCATTATGTTCTTAAAACTCATGCATTTGTAAACACATATCAGTTTTGCTTGCTTTCATTGCTTGATTTATATCATTGTCATAAAAATAATGTATCCAGAAACTTTATTAACGCTTTCTATTATGTTGATGATTTCCAACAATATTGTTTGTGGAATATCTAATTCAAAGTATATCAAAACTCGGACTTATAGGGAAAAAGAAGAGTGTTTAGATGTGAGTTTTAATAGAATGTTAGTTAAAATAACAACGAAAACCACTTTACATTGTTCAATGAAATGTTCTGAGCATATTGAATGTAGAAGATTTATGTTTAATACAGTGGAGAAAACCTGTCTGTTATATAAAGCGGGGGAAAATTGTCCTGTCATCGGAAAAGTCGCCCATGAAGTCTGCTATAGACAGGTAGGTGATATAAGAGTACATATATGTTAGACTACTTTGTTGATGTTGTTTATACGCCAGTCAGACTAATCAGCCAATAGACAAAACTAGCTGTGGGCACTTTCTCAATCTTTGATTATTTTTTAGTCTTCCTAAAAATAAGGTCTATGTATGTATGATTACCAACTAATGGATAGCCTTTGAAACGGGACAAGGTCACACCATTGGACCGCCTGATATTATTCTGCGCCTTGTTTTTTCAATACTATTTTGTTTTATAGTCGTATTAATTGAGCTATCCGGTGCTATATTCACCAAAATTCACTTCGTCAAGCCAGACTGCTGTGTCGATAGTCTTAATTTGGGGCAGTACTTTTTTCGGTTATGAAAAATTGACTTTCACTGAACTCTAAGCCAATGACAATGCCCTTTTGTTGAATAGTACCTTGTTACTTTCGATCAACCTAATCTCTATTAACGGATAAAGCAAATAACAGACGATGTGCTTTTAATTTTTCAGAAACATGTATGTGATAAAATTAGGTGTACAAGATGTCCAATAGGTTACTATGGTGACACGTGTCAAAATATCATAAAAGGTAATTGGTTTTGCTTAGAATACAAATGACGTAGTGAACAAAATAATGGTCACGCTTAGCGACATTATAAAATCAAGAGCACAATACTTTACACACACAAGCTCCGTGAGATTAGAGTGTCAAGGAAGCCAACCTAACAACAAGTTGCTATAATTTCACAAGGAATATTGTCAGTATCATAGTTTGCGATATCAGCATCCGCTGGAAGCGAACGTTAACTTGTCATCTACCTACCTACCTGTCAGTATCACTATCACTTGGTCTGACCGTAAGACCAAAAGTTTACACTGTATAGTTAACCTCATAACACACAACATCGTCTGAAATAGTCGCCTTATATGTTTCTTGCCCTTTTTCAGATTGCTCCGACGGTAAGTCTAGAGGTGTGGTTCCACCAATTAAGAGTTTAGCTTACCTGAAGCCTTATGGCGATATATTTGAAGTCTTGTGTAATTTTAAAGGCAGTGAAGGATACACAGTTATACAGTATAGAAGCTCTCGATGTAGGAATTTAAGTTTCCAAAGGACGTGGAATGAATATGCATCTGGTTTTGGTAATGCGTTTGGTAGTTACTGGTTAGGTTTAAATCACGTGCACAATATCATACGTCACAGTTCCATCTCCTTTGAGTTGCACGTCAAAGCTTGCACAATGACCACATGTACACAATGTTTTTACTTGTTGTTTGATGTAGCAAACCAGCATAACAATTTCACAATAACGGTAGGTTCCTATGTGAAAGACTTGACCAAGCCACTTGGTGATTCAATGAGTCTGTCTAATTATAACATTAATGGTAAGCCATTCTCTACTTATGATCGCGACTTCAGCGGGGGTTGTCCAGCTGATCGTAAAGGTGGTGGATGGTGGTATTTAGACGCACCAACATGTCTGTTAGGTAACCCAACAGGGTCGCTTGATGAGTTGCAGTGGTTAAATATCAACGGAGATCAAACAGACCTAATATGGCTTAAATTACGATTGAAAGGTTAATGGCATCATATAATGCTTAATCCCCCCCCCCCCCCCCCCCCCCCCCAAAAAAAAAAATTAGACTTTCAAATAAGACAGTAGAGGGATCTTTAATCTGCACTCGGCGCCTCGCTTTATCGTCTCAATAATACGACAAGACATGACATGGGAAACCTGGCTCAAAATCCGAAGGCATTACTTCAATCTATGTCTTTATTGAACATAGGATTCCGGGGATAGATAGTAATGGTCACTTTTACTATGCATCCCGCTTCCCAGTGTATTCCTGACGTGTTTAAACAGAACAAATAGCAATTACTGTAAATGAAATATTTAATTGAATGTAATTTTCCACAGAAAGATTAATACATTGAAAGTATAACAACAAGAATGTTCAAGCATGAAATTATAAAACAAAAGATTATAAACTAAAAGCTCTACAAAATACTTAACTTTTTAAATTATATTTTGAATTATTTTCATCCATATTTACATAATAATTGGAGTTGAGAAAAGGGATCTGTGTTTTAATTAATTAAGTAAACAATTATCCAAAAGTGACATATAGTAATTATATATCAATTAATAAAACAGAATTTTATCGGTGACTATTAGTTGGATAAAGATAAATGAAAATTTTGATAAGGATGTTTTCGCATATTTCAAGTTTCAGTTAAGGTACACGTTATCTATCTAAATATAATTTGAAAATTGTTACAGTATACGACCTATTACAGCTAAAATGCCATTTATTGTAGAAAAAAGGCATTAAACATTGGCATTATTGGATCAACTTGGTTGTTTCACAATGTTTGATAGGTCAAGCACTAGACTCATAGAGGGTTTAGTAACATATTATACCTGAACAACACAAGAAACACAGTGACACGATATCAAGATGACTTGAATGTATTTACATAAATAGGTATATGGTGATCAGATAGATGTCACAGACACCCAAAAGCAGCCTTTATTAAACGTCTAACATTGTCTCCATCCTGATAGATTGTCTTCGAAGAGCACATCTGCAGCGTGCTCAACGACGTTGTTAACAGTATAACTGTATCAGCGGACTGTACCCTTCTCTGATAATAGACGATATTACATTGCTGTAAATAATTCTATATCATCAACTTTGTGTGTGAAATAAATAATGAATTTACAGTGCCTTGTCTCTTATGTGGTTCAGTTTATTTTATGTTATGTTATGATTATCATGCTTCTACGAATGTCAGAATCTGTAACACAATCAAAATATAGTGTGCGGGAAATGAGATCGCATGACATGAGTTTTATAATGAAATCAGATAGGCAGTGTTTATCTTATAATTTCAGTTTCCACACGACTTGCCACCTGTGAAAGACTCCATAAGTTTACTCTGTTGGAGCACCGTACAACAATCCCTTGTAGGTACAACCTTGGCTCTCGACCCTCTCTTTCTGTTTTCTCTTTTCAGCATTTGGATCTACAAATTTCTTTGGCCACTGGCGAGTTCCAGAAAAGTTTGGTCTTGCTTCAATCTAAAATTTATGATAAAGCAGTTTGCTTTTTATACAATCGGATACTACAACTAAAGATATCTGTTACAGAGAAATTTAGAGTTCTATATTTTATATACAGCATGAATCGATTTCAGTTTCCTGAAAACATTAACAATGAAACAGAACGTCTTTGAAGTGGTCTTCTGTATATCAGTCATACTCATCGATAATAGATAAAGTTGAAAGAATACTTATACTTTATTCATTGGCATCAAAATCTTTATCACCAAGTAAGGGAAGAGGTAATAACTACTATCGATATTGCTAAAGACGGTTGAGAACGATAGTAGTACTCGGATTTGAAATAAATCTTTTGCATTTCTAGTCAAAAGGGATGGAGTTTACTAATACATTTACCTCACTTCCCAACGCCTGAATACCAGCACAAACAGCACCTAAATGGGTACATTCATATAGATTATCAATTTGAAACAAGGCACCACGGTTAATTCCCAGCTCTACACATTTCTTTAAGAACAGATCCAACCTTTCTCTTTCGCGGTTTGCTTCAAAATTCAAATTCGATGACTTCTTAAAAGTTATTGAATTGAAATTTAATTTTTTATCATCATCAAGATATTTATTTACAATTCTGAAAACAGAAAACAATTTAGAATTAACTTGAGTACAACAAACGAATGCGATAGTGACGTTCAGAATCTTTAAAGCCAACAGCTTGTCGCAATAAATCTATCCTCCAATTTAATACTGTTTTTTCATTGAATTCAAGTATACTTGACATTAGATATTGTAATGTCGCTAGAGAAGCAGTTATGTTCGCTCTTTCAAACCGGATAACCCCCATGCAACTGGGCTTGTAATCTCTATAAGGAGACCTCAACACTTAAATTGATCCATGTGTATGTATACATTTTTCAGCCAACGTTTCTACTCTATTGGAAGGTAAAATATGATTAATAGGCTTATGTTACGTCTCAACAACTGGTTGAGGTCCTTTCACCTTTTCAAGAATGTAAGCAAATCTCTGGGTTTAGCTGAAGGGGCTCACGCCACCTGAAAAATAGTCATTAAAAGTAAAAGATTGCAGATATCGGGGTTTCGGATTATCGGCAACCGGTCAAACAACAGTCTTCTGTACTCCTCTAATTATGGAAATATATATTGTCTATGTTTATTAAATATCTGACCTACTTGCAGAGTATCATACCATCTTTTAATATTTCATAAAAATTATCAATAACTTTTAATTTTTCTTCAGTATTTTCTTCAATTTCAAAATTTTCTCCAGATTCTTGTTTTATCCATTCTAAACATCTGACAGCATCAGACGGACTGAATTGACCATCTATCTGAAAATAAGACAAGTCATTTTTAAAAAAAACTATCTTGATTAAGCTTATGATTCTTTCTATTGCTTTTTTTCTTTCTGCTTTGTTTTTTATTCTCATTTTATAATTATATGAAGTAGCAATTGTAGTTTCTGGGCAGGTAAGTGCATACATTTTGATGATCATCATGCTTTTAAAAGGCGCTTCGCTGGTTCGGTGAGATAGGTTCTTTTCTACCACGTCCAATCTTACTTCGTCAATGATCTTGAATTACAATATACTAATTCTATTTTTGATGAATATTTCGTAATGTCACGCTGGTTTTGTCATTAACAGGACTTGCCAATTATTTTCAAAGCCGTTATCTTGTAATATTTACCGTATGTATTTTTAACATAGTGAGACATACATAAGTCATGGTTTACAATAGGAAGTGTTTGGATGGAATAATTAATGTCAAGTTCACTATGTAGAAATATCACTCACTTTTCCTACGACCACAAAATGGTGGTGACCATTGCACACGGCCTATATTATGACATTTTCAACATATGTTTCTTTTAAATTACCCACTTTGTCTAAGCACTAATTACTACTATAGATACATCTTTGCTTTGCCATAGTGGACAATATAAAGCTAAAATCGTGTTTTTTGAAAATGCATGATCCTGTAAGCTGACGAAACCTAGGTATCATATTCTCTGTGTCCACTACTCAGAATAAACTTGGTGCACTGTGTAATACATCTAACATATAACCTATCGTATCTTGTTTATATATAGATAAAGTACTTTTTTTATAAAACTTTTCTATTTTTGGCACCATTTACCGTCTGTTAAGAGTTTTGCTGAAATTGCATTATAATTATCTCAGAGTATATATTTTGGTTTCTGTTTGCCGCTGTTTGTTCTTGTTAAATCGTAACAAAGTATTAAATAACGCTTTACAAATAACTGCTATAGCATATTTATTTATTTATAACTTGCAGCACATATGTTAATGAACTTCTGATGCAAAATTAGACTATCTAAAATTATCTATAAACTTTTATCTTTATTCGGTCATACTGCATGGCAATAGATAACGAAAAGGCAAGCTACTTAATACACTTCTGGAGACTCGTAAAAGTACAGACAAGTTTTAGCCAATAGATCCGGAAATATTTTCTTGTATTATGTATGTTATATTGTATCCAAACCCATTACGTCTACCTAGGTAACATGGAAGTGTTTTGAATAAGAAAGAAAAAAAACTGGCCTTAACTTTAATAACTGTCATAGTGTACTGGGTTCCTGTATGTGATTATATTGATGGTTTATGTACAGGTATTAACTCTAAAGAAATCATACTGGATGCAAACAGTAAGTCATGATTATATAGATAGCATGGTCTTGTTGAATAGCGATATGTAAGAATATAAGATTCTATGGTATTTATTCTACTCAAATTCTATCAATATGACAAAATGTTGACCTATACACTAGTAGAATGTGGTTCACCTTGAATAATATAGGCGTAACACTATATTTCTTTTAATGTGGGCATAGTACAAGTATTGAATGTTGAAGGGCAAAAACAATCCGGGTGTACAAGTATGCCAATAAATACCGTTACACATGCATGCCTGGTGTTCACAATTAGTGCAGTAAGTTGATTTGGTATTTGGACACTGATTACTTCTTGTAAGCAATGGAATATCACAAGATGATTCATAACATTTGTTAAGAATAAGCTGATTTATACAGACAATTTATCGAAATACAAAAATGTTAACCCACAATTTTTTTACCTCAGAGGTTTTCTTATAAACCAAAACATCACACTGATCTTTAGAACTGTTATCTTGGGCTAGCTTGTATCGAGCACATGACAAGTTAAATGCCGAAAATTTAAAATCTAAGGAATGATGAAATGATAAGGATGAAACAAAGGGACAGAAAGCAATGTACATTTGTGAAATGGATTTAGGTTCTGTTGCCGATAGGCCTTTACACCGACAAATTTTATCATTAATTAAGATAATTGATATATATTGGGAGTTGTGAACAACAACAGGTGATGCAGGTATATGAAGATAATAAAATATCTGCTGTCCTAATGAATTAAGATACAAAGGTAGAGTGATTTATGTTGCTGGCTGGTAAACAACATAAATTCTCTTATTGAGCATCAGAGGAAATCATTAAAATTTACAGTGCAGTCGAACAGTGTAAGGATTGTACAGTACAGTAAGGCCGGAAGACTCTGAAGACTGAACAGGTTAACGATCTATACCAAAAAACTAAACAAACTCAGCTGAAAAGATTTTACGCTATAGTCACTTTCTCTGTTTTTTATTCTCATAGAATAGAATGCCTTTGTTGAAAATAAAATATTGTATCGTAGTTTATTTACCACTAAACTTTGTGTACTAATGATTAATGTAATAATGTGGTAAAAGAAACTGAAGGTATCTAAATTATCTGAAAGAATGTGTTCAAAGTACTGTTTTATTATGCAATTTCACAACGACAATTTGTACGCAACCTTGCCGATAATCATGGCATTTTTTAAAAGATTATTTGTAATTTTTGTTTGCTCAAACAAAGTTTTTATATGTAAAGTTTCTCCCCGTTCCTGTTGCTGAAGCCACATCGATTTTGAAGGAGGTGTTAAAGTGACAATTCACTCTTTGCTGTGTATCGGTTGTGACTTTCAGAAACAGGATAACCAGGGATAACTGGTATTGGCTAGTGTTAATTCTTTTCCATTTATTTACATAGCAGTTCTTTCGTGTGAGCATTTTTTTGCCAAACAAAAATAAATGTTAAACCTTGCAGAAAAATTCAAATGGATAATGGCATCATTTGAATTTTTATTTACATTTGATCATTAAGAGAGATACGATCCAGAAAGTTCAATGTGTAAAAATCTTTAGAAATATATTTTTCCGTTGAATAATAATAACACTAAACAATTTTAAAACTTTAGTGCGAGATATCACTTGTAGGTCATATTTCTTACAATTAGTGTGACAATAAAGCCATGCACTGGTGCTAGGTGTATAAATCCATTGTCATTACTGCGTTCTACATCTCTATAAGGTTTTACATAAAACTAACTTATTGATTATAATATTGCAAATGCATTTTGCTGGAAGGGTCAAATTGAATTGGTGTCCCACGAGAGGTACATATAAACATTCAGCAAATAATTTTTAAAATACGATATCTTCGGAGAAGTTCATGATCATACGATGGAAACATGTTATATAGCTTTATACATGTATGTGAAACAGGTGAAGCCAGTGTGTAAAAGATGCTCTGTTGCCATCTCTGATGTCTGTGTTGATTCAAATTGATTGCGAGGTTAATATAGCGTCATGTTGTTGAAAAAAGGTACCTTTTCAAATTAATTTCCAGCGTTTGATGTATGAAATAATATAAGCGCATTGAATTAACTTCCAAAAAATTCCTTGACTTGAATACGTATAAGCAATTCAATTACATCCCAAACAGATATTTTAATGTTGTATTAAACAACGAACGGCAAGAAATAGCACCCTAACAACAAACAAGTGATTTGCCAAATAAGCATAATTCCTGCTAGTCGCGTGCATATATGTTAATGTAATAATATTCAAACGTTCGCCGAAATTTTAGAATATAAAATTTAAAGCGCATACCTTATTCTGTGTATCCCGTCCAAGTCCAAATGGAACAGCACGAAAGTGTGACATTATGGAATTCTATATCTGTTGGGATGTCTTGAAACGAAAATATTTCTACAAGAACTGTAGTCACTTTCACACAATGTACCGATCAGATTTCTCTATTACCCATAGTCACGTGATTTATTCAGTATCACGTGGTATAAATTGAAAATATTTATTGGATACTGCAATGATTCCATGATGCTCGTGAGATCAGACTTCTTCATACCTGGTATAACCAAGTTTGGCTGGAATTTACTCACTCAATTTCAATATCAAAATCTTCTTCTTTAATACAAAACATTTTTGTTCTTTATTTCGATTTCAATTTGTAACTGATGAATAAAATATAAAAAACCAGTATATTGAAAACCTCTATACGTTTGTTGTAATCTACCTAGAGTTTAAAGCTAAAGGGCAAACATCTGCTGTCGAAACTGAATAAACCCATCCTTCCACAAGTTTCAGAAAACTGATCTCGGCTGTTAGAACAAGAAATTTCGTCTCTAAACTTGAACCTAGAGTGTTATTTATATGATTGCAGACTTCATATTACACTATTCACCACAGTGGAAAATAAATTAGATAAGCATGGAAAGTTTTATTATTGCCATACCATCTTTCCCCTCTATGAATTTTGTTACTGTGCCAAAAAAGAGTAAAAAATAGTATTGTTGAGTTCTATGCAATTATGATTTAATACTGCTGCTTGATAAAAAATCGCGGTTACATTGAATTGAAACGAATAAGGCCGTTAATGCAGAAAAATAGTCATAATTTATTCATAGGCGGTTTCGAACCGTCAGAAGTTTGTTCAATTTCTCTCTCTCTCGCCAAATTCAAAATGTACCAGTCAAATCATTGATAAATACATTACTATAGTTTATCACTTTATCACTTTATAGGAAAACAATTGCTTGGATTTGATCATTAATCAGATACTATCATCAGATGCATTTACAGCTTTTTGAAAACGGTTATGACAAATTAGAACTATAGCGTTTTCATATTTGGACTTTAATCAAGAGTCAGAACCATTAAGAATATTGTTAAAGGAAATGGGAATTTTCTTCTTTTAAATCTATTACGAAGGATAATGTAGTATTTCATTCAAGCAAACCGTTCTACAGACAAATAAAAAAAACATTTTTATAAAAAAAACTTCATGACCCTCACCTGGTTTTCATGTAAAATATTTTAATTATCTTACATCTAGTGCAGCTAATTTTAGAATTTAGAGAGAAGCCGTGAGACTGGATGGGTAAACATCTCAAATTTCTAAAACGATAAAATGTTCTACATGTGGGCCACCAGGGATATGATCAATGCAATGCAGTACTATGCAGTGATTGCAATAAGGTAAAAACAAACCATCTTTATCATTTATGCTTTTTTACCTCCCGGTTCTTTTCTACCCTAAAATAAAAAAGCTCCGTGATAAAACTAAAAGTTTGAAAACTAGGTAAAATAATCCCACTTACGTTAGCTGATGAGTAATAAACTATTTCTTATATTCAAAGGAGGCAAACAAAATCGATACCCTATCGTCTACTTCTAAACCATCAGTTTTTAACTGGCTCTTTTTTACGCTTTTTACGCTCATAATGTTCATCATAACACATCAACCTCTAATTCAATTGATAGACCCTATCCAGAAGCCTATCCACTTCCATATTTTATCCAAATCGGAGGAAAAGTACCGTTCATAGAAACATCTTCAGCATATAATCCAACTAAATACATTTAGTTCCTTTTAATCCATTTGTCAATCTACATTCAAATTTACAAGAACAAACCAAGTTATTCCAAATCAGAAGAAATCCTCAGAATTTAATAGTTGTTTTGTGAGCAATCTCAGACAAACGGATATTGGTAGAATGTAGTGGACTACTTTCTATTTGAATAGCTCAAAATGTTCATGGTCACGATATACTATTGAATCTTTGTTCTGAAACTAAGTATTGGCCAGTCTTTCATGCAACATATTTTCTTGAAAAAGTTATATAAGGTTGAACTTTGTTATTTAACATAGAAAGATATGGAAAATGAATTGGCGGAGTCGGTCCATGCACTAGTATATAGATTAGTCTCCCTTGAATATATGAAATAAGATTAAACAGATTAAAATTTTTTTGTTATAATCCAGAAATAAAATGGTCAATTTCAAAGCCGGCTAGTCTATAATAATATTTATCTGCGTATCATAGGAAGTATGGAGCGTCTTCGTTAATCTTGCGGTGCCATTTTTGCCTTCTACATGACTTAATTATTAAAGTGTTAAAATAGTAAAACCACCGTTCGAAATGTCATCGATACAGATATGCATAACTTCTGTTCGAATTGTGAAATCAAAGTGTTTAGTTATGCAAAAGGTAACTTCATGTTCATTTCATGTCAATTTCTACAATTTTTCACCTATAATGACCTGATAGCGTCATAAAAATATTGCCATAATTATTAATTTTGTTAAGACAACCTAAAATATATAGGTTCATCTACATGAACACCTTTAAACACTTTATGACTAATATTTTTAAATATACCTAGATCCATTCATTATTTGAAAAAAGGTATTTATCAATATTAAATGTTCTTGTACTACAGGTACAGGTATAGGTGTTTCTTCTAAAGCTTCAAAAGTTGTAGGCCTATATAGTGATTGAGAATACTAGTAAAGTATAAGCTAAACAGCTTGTACCTATGATTAGCTGTATACTCATGGAAGGGTTTGTAAGTTACAGGACTGCATTGAAAAATTGTCATAATTCTTGCAAAAAAATAATGAAAACAGGAATCATGATTTAGGTAACACTATAAAAATAATCAACATAATGTCGATTTCTTTTTCAAATACACATTTTACTTGCTGTATTCATGAAGTTTTCTACAGGACGAGGAATCATATTGAAGGGTTGAAGAAGTCCGCTAATCACCTTGGATGTTAGCGACAAGGTTGGAGATAAGTAAGTAATTATTTACGTTCCATTAGTTTACTATACAGATAATAACATTTGGTTTTGATGGTAAATATAAATAAATATACGATAAATACTGGCTTCTACCTGGTCTGTTTACTATCATTTCTATATGATTCATCAATCTAGGGCGTTCACAATCTCACCTATATCCAAAACACGTGTCTTGATCCGAAGGTGTATCACCTTCCAGGATGATTAGATTTACTTTTTGCCTTAAATGCACTTTTTGATACAGTATAATATATTGAAATACTAGAATATATTAATGTTCAAATATCATCGATGGTACTACTCTTTTAGACAAATGACAATGGTGATTGTTTTGTTTTTTTAGTTTTCGATTATTTACTATTAAACTTGCAATTAATTGGTAAATTATGCTGAATATCTAAAATATAAGTGTAGGCCTACTGAGTTCCAAATACCTATCTACTACAGATAAGATCGCTATCTTCTATTGAACTAATAATATCGCGGTAAAAACGATCAGATTTCAACTTTCTTGGCCAAATCGTGTTTTTCTTGGTTTATTTTCTGCCTTACCTACGCCTTCACAATCTTTAAAAACCATGGGATAATACGTTAATAGACATATATTGGAATAGTTCACTTTCCATTTCTAGGGAGATTAGATTGGTTCCAATAATTGTTAACGCATTAATGTTACATTAAAGTCATTTAATTTTGAAATTCTAGTCTTCTAAAGATCTGCAACACTAAGACCAGTGTTTTATGTTTGTAGAGGTGCCAAACTATCTCGTGAATTCGAGACGAGCCCAACCTTTCACTACCTCCATTCATGAAATTTAACCAGGGTGTGTATATTTTGACCAAATGGTTGTTTTGATCAACAAACGGAGGTATCACAGTAGAAAGATCGTGGAATCAGTTTAACTTGGTATTGAGGAGACAACAACTGGACTATCATCATGCCACCCAAGGTAACTATATATTGTTTAACATTTGCAAATCTGGTGACTTTTTAAGTCTTATTTATGTATAAAATACATTTGCATTTTGAAATAGTTTTATAGTACTGATATCAAGGCATTTGAAATGATCATAGCATCAAACTTAGTAAAGTTCGTTTTGGATTTTAAGTAAATAATATATTGTTTTTCTGATAATTTATTGTGTTTTGTCTAAATCCATTTGATATCGACTATGTAAACAGTCCTTTACAACTTCTGAATTTTGAAAGTCGAATATTAGACTGAACTACCAAATTTGAGTAATTTTAAATTTAGAAAGTTCTAGACGAAGCCTGATTCTCAGTCTTATCAACTAGCAACGTCTGTATCAAAACTTCTAAGGAATCTATCTACAGTAAAGTTAACCAGACGAATAAATAAAATTCCTTCATTATGTCAGTAATCGAATAAACAAGTTGCATATATTTCTTACTTAAATGTTGCAAAGCTTTGGGCATGTCCTTTTAACTTAAAGTGAAAAAGATTTCAATATATCACTGATTTCGGGCAACAATATTATATAGCCTAACAGTGTTGATGATAGTGTAAAGACCTTAGTAATTAATCAATCGAGTTACCTGGTCAGCTCATAGGTTGGTAATTCCGTGGTTGGTTAGTTGGAATGATTTGTGAAGTGATGAGTCTGGGATTAATCTTGAGTAGGCGTACTTGGAATGAAGTAATTGTCTAAGTTTTATTTAATTATAGAACTTTTCTATTGGGACCTTCGTGATTAAAACAATTTTAAATTCTTATTGGCAAGTTTTATGATTATGTGTTGATGGACCACAAGGAAATAAGCCAATGTATAAAATTAATAATTCAAATGGCTTAGTACTGCCAAAATATCTATTATGATCTATCTGAAGCTGAGAGTAATAATTGGAACTGACAGGCTGAAGGCCTTTTACTCTTGGCACCAAAACATATTGCTCATTGCGTTTCAATAACAATTACAACAACCGGCATTAGTGTTAATGGTGCTTGTTAAATCATTCTGTAATGTAAACTATTATAGATTGAGAAAATTCCAGATTTAACGAAGGTCTGAGTGTGTATTTTGTCTGGCAATATTATGGTCTTGCTGGCTGTTGGTCTGATGTTATAAATCATACCCCACGTATAATGTCTCAAAGTAGTACTTGATTCAAATTAAAGCCTGATTTGAAAGCATCCTATTGCTAAAAATTTTAAATTATTATTATGTGGTGAGTTTGGTTTCCATAAATTTGCCTTCAATAAACTGTTGGATGACGTTAAGTGACTGATTTATGGTGTGATACTGATGATTATTTGACAGTAAATCACCATATTGTTTTAATTCTATAGTTTTTTTATTCCACTGGTAAATGCCAAAAGCTCTTTGTTCTGTTCAAAAAGCGCTTGATGACATTAGTTTCTTAAATCTCAAACTGCAAAGATCATTATACTAACTGAGGCTTAAAAGATCACCATTTGGATGAGGGAAATCCAAATCTCATATTACATAGATATTTTAGTTAATTATGAATCTTGAAAGGTTTAAATCAGATAGATTTGTGATGCAAACTAATTCATGACATATTTGTTGTGGTTAAGTCATCAGTTAAACACATTGACACTGACCATGTGATCATGTATGTGGTTCAAAATTAAACCAAACACAAATAACGCCATTCAGGAGCAGTCCTGGTAGATATATCTATATTGAATACAATATACATATATTCTGCTGGGTGCAACTCTTCCAGAAAATTTTACGCAAAACTTGTTTTACTCATAAATGAATTAAGATTTAAGATATATGGCAGTATTATACAGTAGTTTCACCTCGATAGATTGATAGTACACATCTGTTAAGGTGTTACGTTTCTCAACAGGAATCAGGTTCCAACTATCATTCCACACCTTATTTATTAACATTAGAGCGTTAAAAAGAATTTTTTGAATTATTTTCCTAATCAAGACAGATGTGAAACACCCTACACTCCTTCCAATGTATATATACGAGTAAGTACAGAACTATTTCTTCAGATCGAAATTGAACGTTTTTCATAATTTTTTTTTTTATACAAATTATATATATATATTCTTATATTTATATAAATATTAAATTGACTAAAATAGTGTTCAGAAAATATATCCGGTTCAGCCAATACTCTCTTCATTAAGACTAGGCTTGGTATCAATCATCTTATTACTACATATAAAACCTTCAAGGTCAATATTGCTCATTTTAAATCAAATCCAATACCTCGGTCTTTAAACTGGTTCTACCAATCTCTGATGCTATCTATATGAAAAAATATATAAAACAGTTATCGCCTCATCAGATAGTTCAACCTGTGATGTTGGTAAACAAAATAACATGTGTATTTTATCTTTTTATCCATTTATCTTAACCTTTAACATTTATTTTATGGAATTTGTGATTTTCCTGTTTTTATCTACTGTTAATGAATTCTTGCAATGTACTGTTAAAGTTGTTCAGGTTACGGTGTAAGCGTTCTACGAATCATTAGCAGCTGATATCTTGATGCCATATCATAATCAGGAGCTATCTTGACTGATTCGGGTTGTATTTTCCCCTTTCTTCAGAATCTCGACTATCTCGTTGTGTAACATTATGAATGACCCAAGATAGCTGGATTTTTTGTGTGATACGCGAAATGTATGCCTGATAGTAACGTCTGGAAATAATAGTTGTGCGGTCTCATCTAATTTTTTGCACAAATATATTAGTAAATGTTTGGCCTGTAAAATGTTTTCTTCATATCGTGCAGTAATAACTACAGGCCTACACATCCAGAAACACGATACATTCCCTCCTCAGATCACAAAATTATGTTTCGATGAGAGTAAACATAATTATGTCAAATATATAAAATACATGTTTCAAATGTTAAAAACAACATAAAGTAATTTTATTTATTTTCTGTTTATCTTTCACTTGGTGTTATCTATTTTAGTTTTGTGTAGAAATTAAACAAACTCGATAGCTTTATCTCGTCCTAGTCAGTTAGTTTATCTCTTGTATTCATCAAAATATTGTGCAATCTTAAACATTTTCATCCTTGGTTTTTGTTTATTTTGGCGACTTTTCAATTCTTGAACACAAATAGTTCATTGTGTTGTTGAGGTCTGATATATTTCGAAACGACAACAATTCTTTAAGAAAATATTCTGCTGCAACAATAACAGCAAGTTTATAACCAAACTTCGAAGTTTAATACCGAATAACGATAAAATTGGGACCATTTTATCTATATATCTACCTATAAATTTATTTATATTTATGTACAATTTCTGTTTTGTACATCATTCCTTAATTGCACAAAATCAGTAACGTCTATATAACGTATTTATTTTGTGAGTCGGGGAAAGACCTGTACACTCTTGAAGCTGTCTGAGTAAAATGATCAATGGTTTGGATCGGTTAATGATTTCTATTTTGACATTTCTAACGTTACAAGTCTAAACCTTTTATCGGTATTTTATTACCTGGATACACATGGCTTACCATTTTCACTTGAACTGTCTATCCAGATTATCTGGACCTGATCACAAATACATTAAGTTCTGCAACTTTAGTAGTACCCTGTAGGTGCTTGTAGAAAGTCTTTTTGTACACCACAGGATTCATTAGCAGCCGACAAATTAATTGAATATAACAACTGCGATCAATTGTAAGGTTAGGTCGGCCGTGTACAACCTTAATGAATGCATCTTTTGACTACTGGGACTTTGCAATCCTCAGCTCGACTAAATCAGGTCTTTTCAGATTTTGCCAGTACCAACTTCCGTCTGAACTCACTAAACATTGTCGTTATGATATCCAACAACATACATTAAGAACAGTGAACTTATATACTCAGAAATTGGTTTATAATGCCTTATCAAATATGTAAACCAAAACCTTGACGTGTCGTACACATTTACAAGATATTTCTTCTTCATATCGTTTTCAGTATTATTATTCTACACGTTGTGCACAATTTACAGTAATTACTAAAACAATTATTCAGTCATAAAATATACATTGTTATCATAGTTTATCATAACATCACAGTTATCATTTTTACTGTAGAAACTACTGAAATGTGTACTGTAGAGAAATATCGGAACAGTCAACAAGTTTTAATGACCAACCACTGCGTCGCATTGATATAGAAGGTATTCTAGCTTTAAACGCAACTGTCTGCAAATGCCTTTTTTTCATTTGATTAGCTCATTGCAAACTAGAGTTCATAGTAATTAAGTCAAGTTATGCTATCTTGGTTAATCGATACCTAGGTTTCCATCCATGAATTTGGCTCCCTCAATGATTTTTTTTTTATTTATTGGGATTAAAAGAGTTGTGGTTTTCTTGCTTTCACTTGAAATATTTCTTGTCAATGAAAGGAAATATCATTAATCCCACCTTTATAGCACATAGGCCTAGTAACAGGTAAAAAACGCTTCAAGATATTGGAACATTTAAAAGGTGAATATCTAGGCGTTATTGATACAAAGAACAGCTGTTATAACTTTGCCTATTATTGTTAACATTTTCACCCTTTTAACTGTAAAATGTCTGCAGACTAACATATTATAAATAGGACAGATGTATCAACTATTTAACAGTTGAACCACAAGATAAGAAACTGATAATCACTTGAGAATGCGAACGCTTTAGTTTAGAGCTGTGAATACCTTGTCAGATATGTTATTCTGGTAAACTTCATCATACTAACTTCAAATATCATGTAGGAAATTTTATGGTCGTTATTGGAGAACTCCTTGATAAATGCAATAAATCTGCTTTGTGCATTTTCGCTGAATTGTTTTGTCAGGCATGAATTGATCTGGTTGTATCTAATGATTTTACTATGATAGTAGTGGCGGTTGTTGCAGACCATGCTTACTTTTTTCGAAATACCAGATCCTACTTCTCATTGGAGTGGTTTCGTTTCGTTCACTCCCATTTTTGCCATTCTTTTGAAGAGCTTTTTGATTGACAGAACTGTCTTGCTTGTGTGGATTATTATCAACCATCTTACGTTGGTCATCTGGGAATTTCTCTGAGTAACCGAAATATCACACGTTAATGAAACTTTTTATTAGGTTTTTGCAAACTTGCAGGATATGCAGACGTGTGTATAGGCCTACTAAACCTCTATAGAATATTTTTAAAGGAAACTACTGTGTTCTTATTGAAACTATCAAATGATTCAGATGAGGTTTAGAATTACAATTGACTTTGGTTAGAGAGTAAAACTGACCTTTACAGTTATTCCAGATCAGTTGAATTCCTTGGATACTCTCCAAACCAATAACCTTCTAATACTGTTTACTACATGTTACCAAGGTAATGAAGCAATACGTCACATTTTTACCAGCCGTGTTGAGTATGTAACCAGATGTAATTTAAACAAGTGGTTGTAATATTTACATCAGTAGGCCTAAACAGCTTTGAGAATTGCAATTATGCAACTGATGTATTGTGGTAAACATTTGAAATAGTCATATGAAAATATCGTTTAATGTTTTTTATTACTTCAAAATTGAGAAAAAGAGGAGGCTATCACTGAACTACCTTTTTACGTCATTAAATAGTTATTAAAATATGAAATCTGTCCGTAATATGCACCATACAGTTTAGTTAGAAAACTTATGGTTTGAAATATTTGCATAATGTTTGACACCTATGTTAAATTCATCTCAAGTCGTGCACTAATTAAACAACCGAATGAGATTGACAGGAGAGACCCTTGGGTTCGCATAAAAGGACCCCAAAAGCACAACATATGCTAAAGAACTCTTAAGCTTGGTAGAAGATGTCCGGATCTCACTTGCACGGTAATTTTTTGCATAGGCTATTGCAAATGATAAAAAGCCCTTTGAAGGAAACGAAGAATAGAATTCTGCCATTTAGTTATGATATTAAATTAAAAATATCGGTTTTTTTACAGAGGGATCCTGAGTTGGAGAAACAGGCTTTGGACTGGATGGAAGAAGTAATGGGAGAGAAAATTGACAGAAGCAAGCCATTTGAAGATGTTTTAAAAGATGGCATTATTTTATGCAAGTAAGTAAAGAATTTACATGATATTTGCTTGCCCCTCTGGTTGGTAGGTGATGGAGATATTAATGAAAGTATGTTTTGGAGTACATACAATGTTTTATTGTTTTTTCTGCTTCAGATGGCCCTTCCAAACACTTTGGGGAATTTTTTTTATCTACCAAATTCAAAATGGGCTCCATCCTCGATATTCCGAATACTATTGCTTCTAGAGCATCAATAGACATAATTTTGGTATCAAAAAATATGATTTCAGGGTCACGGAATTCATTTATGATGGTTTCTTTCCCTGTGGGCTGGGTGTTGGTAAAGTTTGTCATAATAGGTGTCCAACATCATGTCTTACAACACCCCCTACCACCATTCGAACAACATCTACTACCAATCCTACACAATCCCTTACTACAGTCCAACAGTATCTCTTACTATGAGTCCAACATTTCCTACTACCCGTCCTACAACAGAATATCCTACTACCAGTTTACCAGCATCTCCTACTACCAGTCCAACTAGCTCAATTACTATTCCTACAACATCCATCCAATAACACCCAGGACTACTACAGTCCTACAACATCACCTACTACCAGTTCATCAACATCACCTGGCAAGTCCAACAATTTCTGCTACGCAGTTCAACAACCTTCCCTAATACTAGTCCAACAACATCCTACTACCAGTTCAACAACATCCTACTACCAGTCTTACTACAACCCTTTCTACCAGTCCAACAATCTTCACTAATACTAGTCCAACAATATCCCACTACCAGTCCAACAACATCTCCACTACCTGTCTTACTACAACCATTTCTACGCAGTCCAACAACCGTCCCTAACACTAGTCCAACAACATCCTACTACCATTTTAACAACATCTCCACTTGCCTTTTTGGCACTGTTGCAGTTTCGACCCCTTTTCCTTCCCGTTGAGCTATCGATTTGAAACTTGGCAGGGGGGTACTTATATATGTCCTGAATATTCACAGCAAATTTCAGACAGTTCCAACGTTTCCTTCCATCTTAAATTAATTTTCAAAGTGATGTACTGACTGAAATTTTTCCCGATTATGGTGAAATGGCAGGGGGCGTAACTCTTTTGTTTAGTCGTACTTGCTTTGCCAAATCATTCAGTCTCGAGTCATTTCGACCAAATTGTCATTATTTCACAGCGGCGTAACGGCTGTAACCGCAATCATTTTCGTTATGCTCTCTTTGCCGTGTGACGCTAACGTATTTATTTGAAGATTTACAATGCGATAACAGAGTAATGCATTCTGATTACTCACAACAATTTTCAGACCGATCCAATGTTAAATCAATCTCTTAAGTCATGCCACTATGCTCATATTGCTGCATCGCACCCCGATCATTTTCGATCGCGATATCGACACGAAACGTGACAATGTGACTTAGTAATGTGTCTTGATTACTCACAGAAATTTTCAGAACGATCAGACACCCCATACTATGTTAAATCAATCGCTAAAGTCATAGCACAGTTCCCCCTTGGGCACTACAACCCTTTCTACCAGTCCAACAATCTTTCCTAATACTAGTCCATGATGATGTAGGCCTGGTAGTTGATGATGTTGCTGGGCTAGCAGAAAGGGAGGCTGATAGTAGGCGATGTTGTTGGACTAGTAAAGGATTGATGGACTGGTAGTTGGCTATATTATTGTACTGGTAGATGGATATATTGTCGGATTAGTGGTAGGGGCTGTTGTAGGACTGGTTGTGAGTCATTTTTTTTATGAGGAGAAATGGTTAGACCGGTAGTAGTGGACTCGTGGTAAGAGATGTTGTACGATAAGATGTTGTATTATAAGATGATGTTTAAGGAATTGTAAGAGGGGAATTGTTGAACTTAATAGTAGAGGATGTTCGATTGGTAGTGATGTTGTTGGACAGTTAGATGGGGATGGTGTCGGACTGGTAGTCAAAACATTTTTTTGATAAACTTTATGGCGGTTTTTTACTGAGTATTGAGTAGTTTATTTTGATTTAAAAGGACAGATGTGCCATTTTTTGACCAATCATACATTAGTCACAGAAAAATGATTTCTTTAGCTAAACCGACCATTAATAGTGTTCACAGATCACCGTCGAAATTTGAGTTTTCTATTCCGTGTGTGTCCAAAATCCTCAAAATATTTATGATTATTCGACACCCATTTTAAACCCTCCGGTACTGCATGAGCACCACAACAAACTGGTCAAATTAGTTCTTTGATGTATGAACACCTGTTGCTCTTAGAGTAGCTGAAGCTGTATTTTTCTAGTTCATTTTCTCCATACACTATTTTCTCTGTATGCTGTAATCTTTGGTCGAATTTTAATTAACTATTTTGTTTTTTAGTTTTATGAATAAGATGATGCCTGGTTGTATTAAGAAAATTGATAAAAAGGGGGGAGGATTCGCTCTGATGCAGAACATTGAAAGATTCAGTGCTGCAGCCAGACAATATGGTGTGCCGCCAAACGAATTATTTCAAACTGTTGATTTATGGGAAAGAAAAAATATACCACAAGTTACCTTATGCATCCATGCATTGGGTAGAATTGTAAGTTTTTTGTATTTTGTTTTATGGTGGGACATTATTCTTCTGATTTACATTTATTTAAATCTTATGTTGTTATTAGCACTGTATTTCGTTGCATCATTCAGTGGAGAGGCAAAGTAGGATTCATATAATTGTTAAGGGAGCTCACATCTGGAAACTTTAACGCAGGATGACATTTTGTAAGAAATGGAAACCGTCCATCGTAGATTTTAGTTAGTCGTGAAGTTAGTGTGATTATTATTCGACGACAATTTGATTTATCTATTTTTTAGGCCCAAACTAAACCAGAATGGAATGGACCAATTTTAGGACCTAAAATGGCTGAAGCACACAAACGTGAATTTACACAGGAACAATTAGAAGCGGGAAAATATATCCATTCTTTACAAATGGGTTCAAATGAGGGAGCCAGTCAGGCTGGTTTAAACATGGGAAAACAGAGAATGATTAATGATTAGATTCGTATGAATTTGCATAAACAGGCATATTAATTATGTAAATAAATTATAATACTATTAGGTACTAAATTATTAGGCATATTAATAGATACTTTATTTAGTAATCTTAGTTTAGTATTTATCTGAATGATGCCGGCGTTAAGTAAATAGTGTGTCATTTTTGCCTGTTTTACCACCGTTGTTAATAGATTTTGTGGACACTTATGCAAAAGAGAAAAAGATCTTTTTCCGTATTTATGTAAACGTCTATTTCAGATACCTGTTGTGCCACATTTACTGATTCTTCATTATGAAACACCACGTCAAAAATTTCCTAGGACTTCCATATTATTAAACTATTTATTTTTAACGTATCCATTTTTAGTTTTGATACTTATTTTTATTTTGTGTGGGTTTTGTTTGTCTGTTGTTTTTTGTTTGTAATTAATAAATATGTAGATAAACAATTAATACTTGTGACTTTAACATTAATGCCAATAACCAGTTGACAGATCTAGTTTTAAAACCAATATGTTTTAAATCCCGAGACATTATCTTAAGTTACCTGACTAGTGCTGATATGTGTATGAGAACACATTCTTGATAATCTATACATCAACGATTAGGATTCTTCAAATTATCCCAATTGAGACTCCTTTTGATGCATGCCATTGAATAGTATATATGGCAGATCTGGGCAATTATATTGTCAAGAGTATTGGCAAACAATACTCATTAAATCCAGTTAGAGAATCTTGAGCAAGTTACTTGCAAAACGATTGTTTTGGAAACTAAAGTTTTATTGACAATATCGATAATGAATATTCACAAATAAATAAATAAAGAATGAATGAGAGTGCAGTTTACAATAAATATAGGCTCCATAAAATACTTAGTATTTATACATAGTTGAATATTCACTGGATAATCTGGATTTCAGTCCGTGACCAAAATAATCTGGGTCAAATTGCATGATCTTATGGTGTAGCTCTTCACCAACTTTTCAAGCCTTTCCTTACATTGTTGAAATAAAAATAAGATTTTTACTTTTATTTGTACAAACCCCATGATCATGAAATTTCACTCAGAGTTTAAAGTAACTGTGCTTATTCTAAATTATGTTTCCTTTTCATTTAATTCATCTTTTTGATCACAAAATTCTCTTTCAAAGTTCTATTTTTTACTTGCATATTATCATTCCATATTATCAAAATACTTCACAAATCAGTTCACAAATACAGTTAATACAGCCCTCAATTCATAGTTTATAATGTTAGTCATATCTCCTGGTTCCTGACAAAGAAACAGAAAAAGTCTTTTTTGGTTTGAATTGGAATAATTGTACTTCATTAACCACATAGAACTGAGAATAAAATTGACTTTCATACCATTTACAAAAAGCTTTACATGTAAGCAAACATTTACAAGTCCATATTGTATTATATATAATAAAACAATTTACAACGAATATATAGATCAATCACAAGAAGGTAAGGAATGGAGGGAAGGCGTGAATGAATAAATAAAAACACAGGAATAAATGTCAACAAATGTATAGTGTTAAAGCTCCCTCCAATTTAATTATTCCAAAAATCACAACATAAAAACAGTGTACAATTATCGTTGATATTGTACACTAATACAACACAGTTTTATAGTACATTTTAAGTCCTGGGATTTGTTTTTCTACCCTGTAAATACAATTTCAAAAGTAAAACAATTTCTTATTCTTTTTTCTAATTTCTAACATTTATTACATCAAAAATTTTTCTTTCAAACTGTTTCCATATTTTGTAAATTCCATTGTAATGGTTTAAACCTGTCACCTTACTTTCAGTAATAAATACAAAATACCAACCATCTAATAAGAAAATGAAGTTTCAACTTCAAAAACAGTAAAATATGAAAGTAATCACTCCATGTACAAATTCATTGCAAATTTAAAGCTTAAATTATTAATACTATAAAATAACAGTTGAATAGTTAAAAATATTATGCACTAAATAAAAACAAAAACTTAAATTAACTAAATAAAAAACAATGTAAAAATGAACTTTAATGAAACAATTTTTCAATTATGATAGATCTTTTTAATCCACTACAAGAGTTTTCCTATCCTCAAAATGTGGAAGAAAATACATTTTCCCCTTGTGAACATAGTCACCAATATATTGTAATCTTCTCTTATAGAGATACAAGAATATGCTGTAAAAAGGCACAGAAAATTACCATGTGTCGAAATTCAGTGTCATAGAATGGATTACATTAAAAGCATGTAGAAAAATTAAAATTTTATGAATAAAGTTATGTGGAGATTATTTCCCTTGTAAAATATTTTTATAAATGGTTGTTTTAAAGTCATAGTTTGTGAGCCAATAGCCAAATTTCTTAAGCTTTTTTCTTCTCTTCAAAAATGGAATGTTTTTAAAAACCAGTATATCAGATTTGGTTTTTAGATTTGGAATGCTAAAATTCAATGAATGTTACATTTGATTCAATGAACAGCACTTATAAGTATACACTTTTCACTTGATGGTAACTGACTAGAATTTATCTACACTACAAAAAATGCTTTACAAATAAAAGTTTTAAATGTTAATATAAATTTATCACAAGCAAGCATATTTTTATTTTTGCAAAGCCTAATTCATAATATATTTTTTTATAATTTTTGAATTTTTTTATCTGAATAAAAAATTAAGCACTATATTATTACATAACCTAGTTGTTTCCATTCCTCTTTTGATTTATCAGTTTTGACTTTATTTTGATCACTGATGTTTTGCAGATAAAGATTAAAAACTTTGAGGATAATTTGTTCAATCACTGATTATTATCATTGAGAACAACACATTCTTATTATGAAATGGTGACAAAGGTCTTGATTTTTCAATTATCACAAAATTTATCAAAAGATTACAAAGTTATACTACTTAATTTTCTACAAAAACTATGCCTTTACTCTGTAGAACTCCTTTAAATTCACATTTGACATGGTGATGTTTACCATCTATAATAGAGATAGTGGAATCAAATGGCATCATGAAGAAATCTCCAAAAATTCCACCAGATACCACAGTTCTTGTTGAATGACTGGGTGTTAGTGACACATCTCCTCCAATCTTGTGTGTTCCTAAAGAAAAAAGTTCAATATACAAGCAAATATATACAAAATTTCTGAAATTTTATTTTCCATGGGAAAACCTTTAGCAATTGCAATAGAAATTTAATTTTGTCGATGTTAGATATATAACTTATTCCCATTACAATTGTAGGGTTGAACATGTTGGTAGAGTAAGTGTTACAGCACGAAAACACAACATGTAAGAACTACATAACAAATATACATACCCTTGATTTTCTGTACTTTTCCATTGTTCAAACTGAGAATTATGATATCCTCCGTATCAGCTGATGACATAATGAAATCATAACCTTTACGACTAGCAGACGGGAAAAACTCAACATCACTAATTACGGTACTGACAATAACTTCAAATCCCATCTCCATTACACCTAATGAAAATATATATCTTAAAATAAATATCATGTCAGGATTGTCGAAAAAATAGTGTACAATGCTTGGACCTACTCATATGCTTATTCCCTATTGACAAAATATTAATATATCATATATTGGTCAATTATCAAATCTGATGTTAAATTTAGTTTTATTAGGAAGATATCAGTTTGTTTTTTTAACCCGGATTGTATATAAGTTAGGTTTCTGAGAACAATGTCCTAGCATAAAAAAAGCATGTACCATCTTGTGATATAGTTGAAACAGCAACCTTTCCAGAGAAATAATCCACTGTAACAAGATGTCTGGAATCAGGACTAACGAAGGGTCGACCAGGGAGTGAGATATGGGATATTATAGCATCAGTAATGTAGTCTAGAACAATCTGTAAGGTCTTCTCTGATGATGGTATTACACATTCTACTACAACATGTCCACCTGTAATACAATATTATGTTTATTATCTACAATTCTCTGGGTTTGTAAAAAAAAAATATTTCAGCACATTCAGGAACTATTCATGACAATCACAAAAAGTGTGCATTATTTACAGTGATAGAGATATTTCCAGATTCATTCGATGGTATAAAAGGTTGCGTATAATACACATTTGAGCACTTTATTCTCAATTATAATAAGATATCTAGATTCTATATTACCTTTATTTTGTATATTAACATTGCTTTGTCCCTTTTATTTTTATTTTTTAGTCTGGACATTAATTGTGTATACATTCGTACATTCTCAATCAAAAACCAGCTTCAACACAGCTTATATATACAAGTCATACTAACCAATAGGAACAAAGGCAAGTGATTTTGGTATGCAGTCAAACTGGGAGAAATCAATAACATTCACATATTTCATCTCAATCAAATCTAGTTTAAATAATCCACGTTGTTCAGAATGTACAATATAACCAAAATTAAAATGATGTTTCAGGTTATTCTGGGGTGGTATGAAGATATCTTTAACCTACAATGAAAAATATCACAGTTATCTACCTTTATTCAGTAAACAGTGAGTTCACCAGTAAGACTATTGACCACCTTCAAGCCAATGAAAGTAAAAGCAAGTCTAGTTGGTAGTGAATCAAAAGTTGGCAGACGCAGTGGACACACTGGGCGAATGACTGCTTTAAAAACTCGTTGAAAATTAAATTACACATGCGCACGGCACCAAGTCACATGATAAAAATACGTTGGTGTCAAGAAAGAAGCGAAGAGCGGCAGGTGCTTATATCATATAAGTTGGGCTTTGACTTCCATAACATGATCAATTCTTCTTTCTTTTCTGCACTCCGCATTACATTCAGGGAAGGTCACCATTTTATTTGTCATGTGACACTTGGGGGGTCTGTGATTGGTTCAGTTACAGGAAGGTTCGCGATAGACATGCTGAACAAGTCGATGGTGATGAATATTCAGGCGAATAATATTTAACGCGCTTGATGTTGGCAAATGGCTTCGGCCAAATGTCGTAGCACTGGACACGCTAGACTTGCTATCTACTCGCTTGAACCATATGCCCTGAAAATTTGCCCAGTCTCTCAGCAGCTTATGCTCCACATTTTGTTTGAAGAAAACATATATGCTGTCAGAGAGCCTGGCCTGGAAAGGCCTAGCTTACAAAGGACTCATATTAGCAGTATATTGCTTTGAATTAAAGGTAATGTGTCTCAGTTTGTCTACTTGTCTAAATTTTCTATTTCATGATAAGTTGCTGACTCTCATTCTTTACCTATCTAGAATAATATTTAACTCACTAAATCAAATCTGTTACCAACAGGTTGTGTATGAACAGCATGATGTTGTATATCCTGACTAGCATCACGAATTACAACTACTGTCTTCATACTTCCATCATCCTTACCATTCCAACATAGAACCCATACTTGATCTAGATGTGGTATATAGTATAATCCTATTGGTTCACGATCTGTATCAATTACCTAGAGTGATAATAAAAAATGTAATCTTTAATCAAAGGATGTTGATGTAGCTTTATTTGCCAATTGGTCCAAAATAAATCTGATTGTGAATTTAAAGGACAGGAATAACCTTCAACACAAGTTAAAAGAGATAGTCATAAAACAGTGGGAAATAGAAATAATTATGCCCATATTTTGCACTAAACTTGATAAAAAACCTCAGACAAATAGTCATTCAAAAATACTGAGTTGCATACCTGTACTGGATTCCATTTGTCTGTGGTTTCTATGACAACAATACGATTTTGTGATGGTTGACTGACATAAACAAACTCGTCTTTAACATTAACAGACGTGCCCCAATTACACTTATTGTTATGACATAATGACATTGGTTCATCCAGATTATCAGGAATAAACTTAAAGTTCCCAAACTTTCCTCTGACCTCTCTTCTCATGAGACAACTCTCTGGTCTGTAGGCTGTGTAACCGTGGGTGTGGAAAACCATAAAGGTTCCATCAGACTTCTGTGATGAAGAATCTATAAGAATATTTGTCATATTGCATCACTTAATTATTTATGTTCATTTCTACCCATGTAAATATACCAAACTCAAATAGACAAACAATGACAATCTTTATGTCTAAACCTGGAAGCTGATAAAACCAATCAATGGTAGATGGTACAAGATGGTAAAAATGATTAAGTCAGGTGCTTAAGTTAGCATTATGTCCTGTGCAATCACATTAGCTATGAGGTTCTCCACAGGATCAGCTGGTTATTAGACAGGATCCTCCATATTTTTTTTTGACTTGAAACATTGATAAGATTACAGAACTGAGAGAACTTACAGGAACTGGAATGATCATCTTGTATAAATATAGAAGCCACATCTTCTGCTGTACCAGCCTGGTTTTTGGCTACACATTTATATGCCCCAGTATCACGGTGATAATCAGCATTGTGTATTGTCAATGTCTCATTATTATCTGAAATTATTTAAGGTAAGAGTTTATTGTCTCTTAATTTAATTCAAGCTCTATAACTTGAATTTCAAAGCAAGCTCTATAACTTGAATTTCAAAGATAATGATGCAGAGTTCATTCATCTTGTTGATCATGCACAACAATAGATATCCTTTCATTAACCAGAAGGAATACAGTATCTTACAAGACTTTATCCAGCAAATGCTTCTGTGAAGATAAAATAACTTCAACCAATTGAGAGATTCACAAATATTCCACTAGAATATTCAACCTGACATTGAGAATCATACTTACCAGATTCCTGGAAATGTCGAGGATCATTAGGTAATGACATTTCATTTATTTCCCATGATACACTGGGAGTTGGAATTCCCTCTGTATGACATTTAACAGTGATGTCAGTATTAGATAATCTGAGTTGACTGACAGGTGATACACGAACCAATGGTGACACTGAAATAAGGCAGGTAATATTAGTTTTATAAACATATGACATTCAAAGTAAATATTTTCCCTTATACCCAATCATAAAAACATATAGCATTTGATATAGCTACTCTGCACCCACATCAGCAAGAGGACAAAATTTATTCTTGAAGAATGTCAAAGTAAGAGCAGTAAAGTAAGAGCAAAGTGACCATGCAGGCTTTCAAGCAGAGTAAAGTAGGCTACTTCACTCTGGTTTATTTTTCTAATATTGATAATATAACAATTAACTTACTTTGTACTTTTAGAACATGAACTTGTTTAATGTTAGTATTTTTATGTGAACAAGAATAATTTCCAATATGGTGGACACCAACTTGATTGAAGAATAATGATCCATCATCAAATACCTGAAATACATAAAATATTTAAGAAAATAAGCTATCAAGTTATTTACTTCAAGTTCATTGCATAGATTTTGGATAGGTTTTTACGGATTTTGTATCTACAATGGTATTTCCTGGTTTTTTTTGCTTTTTTATAACAAAATGTTCTATAGAATTAGCCTAGGTAGTCTAGGTAATCTCCCATCTCAACCCTGAAATATTTCAACATTGAGAAGAAACTTACAGTAAGACCATCAGTAGAGTGTATAATCTCTGTATCAAATCTCTTCCAAATAACATCATCACCATTACCTTGACCTGGTATAGCACACTTCAACTCTAGACCATTACCCACAGTAGCTAGGGTTGGTATTACCTGTAGATCTATCTCTTGACTTTCTTTATGATCAGACTTATCTAGAGAGAGTAAAATTGGATTGGAATAAATAATATTCACTAGATGAATGCATGGTCAGCATGAGCTATAAATAGATCTACTACTAACTTATAGACAAATAAAATTTTTGAAAGTGTTTGATGCCAGCAAACCACATATCAAACAATATTTCTATTGAGATATCATCAAATATTCTGTTCAAACTTCCATTATTTTTACCACAATTGTATTTGCTTTTCTATGATCATACATACCAAAGGCTTTCAAGAATTCTGTAACAGATAATTTTGCATCTTTAGGTTCAGAATCATCATAGACTAGAATATCCAGCAATGTGCAAACTGTGTCAAGAATAACCAGTTGTTCTTTTTTCTGCATGATTTCCAGATCTTTTTTCTCCAGATAGTAGTCAATATCACGATCATAGTAACTAAAAATCAACGTAGCTAGATATTCACGATCTGAAATAAGATTCCAATGGTTAAGTTTAGAAATGAGTAAAACATCTACAAATTTAAATTATCATGCAAAAAGAAAAGTAATTAAATTGTTGAAAACAATAGTCACAATCTGGAACAGGCTTACTATTAAGTTATAAACAGATTGTTTTATAAACCTCTTTTAGGGGTGAAAATATTATCATTATCATACCAAATAATTGTCATGTCTTTCTCTAACAGCATGGTTTTGTAAGTTCCAAAATACTTAATTACTGTTTAACATCATGTATAAATCATAATACTCAACATAAAATTTTTTACTTTTACTTACCTTTTAAAGTCTGCACCTCCTTCTTACAATCAGGTTCAGCAAATCTATTACAATGATGAAGCAGAAGTTTCTCTTTAAATTGTTGATAATCTTTGTAGTCACATTTAGTTTCAGGCTTGACTTCAACTTGTAGACCATATTTCTTGCCCAAATCCTTTGTTTTCTTACTTGGTTTCTTGTGATCTTCTTTGTATTTTCCAACATAAATTTCTTTCGAGTCAATAACTGCATCAGCTGGTACCTTAGGATCTACTGGAGCATCAACAGAGCTGTGACTAGTTTTAACTTTCTTTACTTTCTGAGCAGGAGTATCTGTAATATAAAAGGAGATATATTATATATCACTTATCACTTATCAGCTACAGTAAAATAGCCTATATATTACATGAGACTTTTAGCCAACTTATATTCAATATTGAAATTTTTTTCTTTTAAATGTTCACATAACAAAGATCATAATCCGAAGTGAAGTGAATGATAAAATAGTCTTGAACATTAGGACACCGTTGTGTTTTGTTCACTTTATTGCCAATTGTATGCCCTATTGATTCAAAAGCTATTTCTTTGGTATTTGATGCAAATTTGTAGAATATCTTGCTAATGTTTTGTAAAGAATATGAATGGCATTTATGCTATAAAATAAAAATATCTCAGAGACTATCCAGTTAGGAAAGAGAACAACATCAAAGTGAAATTTTGAACAATGGTTCTTGTCAAAATTGCTTTTTTGTGCAGAAGAATTTGAGGGATTGAGGCCGAGACAGAAAGTAATTCCTTGTAGAAAAAAGACAAAAACTGTGAGATATTGGAAGCCAGCTATCTTCTGTCTATTATGTAATGGAATAACTGTGTTCTTTTCATGCTGAACAGAAAAACAAGAGAAGAATCAATATGTAACAGAGCTACACGCTATTTTTTGTCATGTTGAAATGATTGAGTAAGATATAGAGGAAAATGAATCACAAGGAGAAATATGAAACATAATAATAACATCATTCAAAATGACCAAACCATAAACTGATATACCAAAACGTAGCTTGGAAATCTCAAAAGAAAGAATGAATGCATATTGAATGAAGTACTTTTTATTTGATAAAGGATATATATATAGTGAAGAAAAGATGATCTTATTGAGTACAAAAATGAAATGAATGTAGTTTTATGTCCTTCTCTTCTGCACCCTACTGGGATTTAGAAGATGGGCACGCCATGCAGTGTTTAACTAACCTACTCTAGTTCAAATTTGATTATCAATGACTGTAGGTTAGTAAACTATCGTATAATTCACTAAGCAGCTCCCTCATTAAATAGAATTGATATTTATAAACCGGACATATAAAAGCACATTTGATGCATATTGCTGTTCCACTAAATAAGAAATAAATAAAAGAAAGAATAAAAGAATGAATGAATGCACAAGATAACCTTCAATTGTTATTTTAAAGTGTGTTATGTTTATGTGAATAGTCTCTGAATTGATGTGAATAGAATGAATAGAAAAATCAATAAATTCTCCTACCTTCGCTATGTTTGAGACATTTGTGACTTCGATCAACTTTAATGTGTATTCTATGTATACAGGCTGTACGGTGAAGTTCACAATGACTTGGATACCATAAACCATCAGTTCCACACACAGGATGGCTGTGTTTTAAACATGCATCATCAGGAAGACACACACATACACCATCATGACACATACGACCTGACTTACAATCACGATCTACTTTACAGAAAGCTGAAAAAATACAAAATTATAAGTATATATAAATATATTAAAATAGGTCATTATCATTATATCAGTTTTCGCCAATTGTTATTAGCATTCCACTGGGTCTCCAAGTTATGATGTACTTCTGAAAATAGTGAATGAGGTTCTGAGGTACAGAATATGCAGTTTCAGATCTTAAAAAAACATGCTTGCATTAGAAGATTAAACACCAAAAGGCTGTTTTAATATCATTATATAGAATCAGAAAGATTTTGAATGATTGAAGACTATTATATATATTAGTATGGTATTCTATCCTCTACCTATAAACAATAGTTTGCATGTTATATTCTGTCGGTAGTATTGTTACTATAGTAAATAAAGACTTGACAAGATAATTTCAACCTGTCAGAGTGAAACCTTTCTCAATTTAAATCATGTTGATTTCATCTCGTCTTGCTATTAGCACATAGATCATTGTAATGTCTTAAAAAGCACCATACACTATCATGCATCACAACCAACACGTTAAGCACGACAGCCATTACACTTATCACAAATTACATCGGGAAATTATTCTGGTTCTTAACATCCGCATAAAAATCTCTTTTATTCTAGATTACAGTATTCAGATTGTTAATTCTAGAGAGAGTACATACAAAAATAGAAATATTTCATGTATATTAAATAAAGAATAATCTGTTATTAATTTCTTATCCTTATATACTAAGAAGATATTTACAATCAAAAACACAAAAAGTCAAATTCTTTACTTTTGCAAGATGCCAAGAATATTCGGTCTATAAAAATCTGTAAAAGTATATGACAGTTCGGTAAATATAAATCTAAACAGGTTAAGCTTTTGGTTTCCAAGTGAACATTTTTTTGGTCTTAAAAGTCCAGTGTGATTCCAATGAGGAAATTGATAACCTACCTGCAGGTTTAGATTCAATATAAGATGTAATATGAATCTTCTTGATACCAGTATCCACTTTCTTATCTTTCATGATTTTAACAGCTGGTGTTACCATTGGAGGTTTCACATCTCCTAATCCTGGTGGTGGGGGGTTCGGGCTAGTTTTAGGTTCTGGTTTAGTATTTGCAAATTCTTTTAGATAACTGGGATAAGCCAAATCTTTCTTGACAGACTCATGTTTATTGTTATAAACTGGGTATCCCTCTTTAATAGATTCTTCTGTATCTCCAGTTTCCTCCACTGGCACTTTCTCAGGAACAATGGAATCAAAACTGTTGAAACCTGATGGTATTTTATCCTTTTCATCTTCTTTCTGGCCACCTTCAGCTGTATGTAAAAACATACCATTAGCTGATTCTGGTTTTCCTTTCTCTTGATTCTTTGATTCAATTTCATTTTCTTTATCATCCTTAGAATTAAACTCAAAAGATTTATCAAATTCTGTATGCCAGTCTTTCTCACCCTTTTCCTCCTTCTTCAAATATGTTTTTTTACTATCTTGATCCAGAAATGAATCCACATTATCTTTCAATGCTAGTGACTTATCAAAGGAAAAGTCTGAATGTTTTTTTAAATCTGATTTGTCCTTATTATATTTAGTTTTAGGCACTGTTTGTTTGTGTTTGTTTTTTGCACCTTCCTCATCTGGAAACCATTCTCCCCAGTTCTCCCAGATATCATTGTCATCCTGAAAATAGATCAAATATACTGATGAGTTCACAGTTAAAATACAGGCTGTTACTAGAATACTAGTTAAATCTTAAATACATTGATATCTAATCAGTATCTGAAACAGTGTTTAACCTCTAAATTTTTCAAGTTTAAGACTTTTATTTGTTAATTGTCAGATCTTTTCATTCATATCTGAGCACATATTATTGATGAGATAAAACTACAGGGTGTCTCTGGTAGGCAAGACTTCACCTAAAACATCTATCATTGATTATTTTCATTGTATAGCTCTTTGTATGTGTACTGGTGACATTTTGCTTGTATTCTAATGTCTTTTCTGAAATCTGCAGTTCTAGTCATATGGAAACAAATGATTGATTGTGGCACCACTATTTCTTGTAATATTTCATTCAAATATTTGCTGTAAAATGATGTCATAATCTGCTCAAGTTTGATGGAAAATACCAGATAAGATATGTTTTGATTTGAGGTGGCTTGATGGTTAGATAGATAGGTATTAATCCTTACATAATTCTGGCTTTTGTTCAAGTATTGTTCTGTTTTTATTATGCATGTTTTTGTTTGGATTGAGATAGAAAATCAATAAGACTGATTGATTACATTATCTTGTTTTTGTTGCAGATTCAACCTAAACCATCCAATCGCAATTTGATATTTTCCGTGGAGAAAATGTCAAGCCATTAAGTTGAACGGTTAAATTGAATAAAGACATTTTAAAAAACGTTGAAAGGTGGAAAGTGGTCTGAGAACTTCACTGAATAATTTCATCACAATAAAGTTTGAGTACATAAAGGTGTCTAGAATTATTTCACAATCTAAATAGGAGTGAGGTTTCCTTCAAGAGAATTTTCATAAAGTAGATTGAAATCATATCTATCATTTTTTAACATTTTAGGTGACACCAATTTCATATTTGACCATATTTAACTGTCAAGTCATATATATAATGTACCTGACCATACTTAAGATTGTTATATTAAAATGTGGCCCTTTTTAAAAAAAAAATTCACGTGTTCACAATGAAATTGTGAAAACCTAATTGTTCAGTTATTGAAATTGTAGAGCAACAGCACTCTGGAATTCATTACCTCAAGTACTTAAACAATCCAACAGTGTAGAATGTTTTAAAACAGGACTGAAAAGGGAACTACGATAATAAGAGAGACTAGAATTATTTTACAAATATCCTATTATCTTTAATGTTGTAAAGATTACTTTTATTTCATTTCCTTTTTACATATATTTAAATCACCTTAATGTGACCCTTAATTTTCATCATTCATTTTCTATTTTATTCTATTTTCCATTTTTATTACCTTATCATTTTGTAAATATGTTATTGTAGTTGTATGTAGAAAGGTCCCAGGGAAGGTTGCCTTATACAACTGGGTTTCTTATGAAGTTATTATTATTATTAAACTCTCCACTTGATGAAGTGTTCATAATTTATGATATAATAGAAGAGTCCTTTGCCAAAAGTTTGGATACATATTAAGACTTAAGAACTTTTAACTGATCTCGGACAGATAAAAGAGGGTAGAAAAATTGAATGGTGTCAGCCCTGTCGTTAGGGTGGGATCCGTGGTGGATGGGCTCCAGCAAGTGAGAATTAAGCTCCAGCAAAACCTTCTTCACTTCAGCAGAGATTGATTCACTTACAGTGTCTTTATACAAAATCAAAAAGATATTGATTTTGAAACGTTTTGACACCTCAAAATAGTGAGAAACAGGTTCTCTTTAATTCTTCAAATCTACAAGACTAAAAAAAACTGAAAACCAGCACGAATTCATTCCTGACGACGGGGCTGAACGGTGTATTATATTCTGGAACCCAATTATTAGCCTGAGACTACGTGTCTACTCATTTACACATAATAATATCCTTTTATGGAGATTATATCCGTGGCACTTGATCAATTCTTTTTCCAGATCAATAAATTTATCAATAACCTCGGTAATGACAACGAGACGTATTATTACATTATTGACCTCATTACGCCCTATCTTTACTATAATATATTAATGTCACACCTTTAGAAAATAGTTCCTGATACTAGTAGAGTTTGATATATAATTTATCTATAGAAACTTATGATCTATGATATGTTACAGAACAGTATTTTATTCAATGAAGAAACACGAGATTTTGTACCAGAATGTTTTTTATTCATGATTATAGTTAAGATTCTACAAAAATCTTTTATCTCATCATCAGACTAATGGACGGACAGCTAAACAACACTTATTCAAGAGTATCTTAATGCCAAGAAAAATATTCTTTAAAAACATGAAGACATATAGAGACGTGTATGTAATTCATGTATCTTCATATTAAATGTGGCTGGCAGTATATATATCTAGTAAAGTTATAGAGATATCAAGATTATGATGTTTAACATTGAAATGAAATAGAGTCTAATTTCTAACTACTGTTTGAGTATGGCCCAATTTGTCAGGAAATTAGTCATCCTGTCAGTCTGGACAGGAAATTATCATCTCTAATTTTGACTTCATTAACTCATTCCTTCCAAGTTTATCCCAAGGCAGCATTTAAAATTAATATCAATTTCAACTGATGATGAGAGTAAATTCTGGCTGAAAGATATATGTGCAATTTGTCGAGCTAATGGAGATATACTGAATATCAAATAAAAAAAGATCTTTCAAATTTGCACATTTGTACACAGGATCCAAATAAAATTCAGTATGTTAAAAAATAATTTTTTATTTCAAAGCAAAATGAAAATGTCTGATTTTCTTTAGAGTCAGCCCCAATTCTAATCAAGATAATTGTGTAGAACTCCTACATCAATGGACCAGTTGTTCCAGATAATGATATAAGAAAACATTGCTGACCCAATCAACTTCAGCTTTCCTTTGTGACAGTCTGATTTCCCAGAAGATTTTATCATCACTAACGGAAATCTAGATTTATTACATAGTCAGTATAGATCGTGTAGGCTATGAATTATGTAAAATCTAAGAAACATGGAGAGTTACCACTGATTCAATTATAGAGAATGAAGAAAATACCCAATCACTTGAAGGAAACCTGCAAATTTGAAGTACAGAACATGGCTGAGTGAAGATTTTTATCTGGGTAGAATTTTAAACATGAACAGTTGAGGTCTAAAAGAAATTTATCTGAATGTATACTAAACATAGGGAACAGCTGTCATCATAAAGATAAAGTTAATTATGTGCTTGTTTTGGACAAGGCATTATCAAAAAGTTATACCTAGTGCCCCACCTAGTGCACTCCTATAATGAGACAGCTATCCATCTCTACAGCTGTCACAATACATGATTATATTTTCAGAAAATACATGGTAAAAGATTACCTTTGGGAGATCCCTGTCACATTACTAACATATAGGCTTATATTTCATGACTTTACTGACATGCAATTGTTCATGAGTTTATCTGATCTCAATATCAGGTCAACTGTTTGATTTTCTGTCAATTTGTGATTCAATAAATCCCAAGCTTAACTATTTGATACATTTTATCTTGTGGCCTACATTAAGCTTGTCTTTCTCGTCAAACTTTCAGACAATTTATTGAGGTTAAGCTCTTCAATAATAGAGGATAAAAGACTATCTGAATATAGATTCCCTGTCGTCTCAAGACTGGGTTAAAATCGTGTTGCTAAATTGAAATGTCTGTCAGTCTTCTGGGTGGCATTTTTCTCAATGTCTGATCTTTTATAAAGAATATATTGAATTAATGGATATGTTAAGTCTAATTCTATGAATCTGCTCAAATTTGCTTCCAGCTTTTTAGGCAGACTAAGATATCTAAATAACTTCATTTTGGCTTTTTGAAGTACATCTGTATTCAATAGTATAGTTAGTAAATTAATTTTAAGCTAAAATTCCCTTAAATAACACTTCATATTTATATCTTTGTTCCTGTTATTTTACAGATCACACTTATTAATAGTTAAACATACCTGAAACAACAAGAAATATCTTGAAAACCAGTGGTTGAACATATTCAGGAACCAGGAAGAAAAACAACTAGAAAACAATTTCAAACTATTCATAATCAATTGATATACCTTATTTAATTAAGAACAAAAAATAAAAGCTAAACCAGGTACTTCATTTCTTTCTGCTTGGTTTTCTGCAAATTAAGTCAGTTTTTCAACAGGAAAGTCAAGTGCATTAATAAGACTAGCCTATTACTCATCTAAAACATTAGGATAAAGTCAACTATAAAATATGAATGATGTTATCGCATGTTCAACAGTAATATTGAGGGTTTGTGCCATTAATCCTAGTGTCTAACTAGTTATTATTACTGTTGAAGTACAGAACAACCTCATCTTTTATACATCTTGTAGACAAAGTATTAGAAAGCTTGTTATATTTGGCTTGAAAATAATTACTTGTTGAAAATCTATTTACACTCATCAAAACTACATCAGAAGTCCTTATTTTCATGCTTGGTACCTCCACATTATGCAACACAATCTACCAGTCAGACTAGTGGTATTCATCATTTACTTATAAAGTTATAATTCTTACAAATCACAGTTTGAAAACGTTTTGTGTTGTATGATCTTCTGATTTGAAAGCTACATAATCATTGTAAATTAACCTCAGGGACAGTCTTGTCTATTGACCTCATTGGTGTTAAATATCATTGAAATAAAGGATTAGCTGTATGAACTTCTAGAGAGAAACTTTTGAGAAGGCTAATAAGAAAGATATTGAGCTTCAGTTCGGTGACAATGTAAATAGAATTATCTCCTATGGGATGTACTTGAAATGTTATAAAGCAATTTAAAGGCTATGAATTCAGTAGAAAGTAAATATGTGGTGTTTCAATGATATGATATACATTGTTTTGATCCCATTCCTTCAGTTTCCTCCATCAAAATTGGTAATAGTCTGTTGAACAAGAAATCAATCCACTGAATGACTGGAAGAAGGTCATGGGTCAATATATGTCCAATGAACAGGAGGAAACATGATCGTAGATAGACAAATATTGAACACGTTTCTCCCTGTATTTAAACAAGTTGTCAATGAATTCTCCCTACTATAGCTATGTCAACAAGACAATATGGAGTCTATGTTGTCACGGATATAAATTAAATGATGAGTAATCACATTAACCACAGAAACCAAACACTGTCTTTTTATTCTATTTCAATAGCAGGTGTGAGCTGGTAGGTGTAGATCATTATGTGATATACATGTTTATACTTACAGATCATTTGAGGAAATATTAAATATCATATTAACAATACCATCTGCTATAACTGCAACCACTGACATCCTCCTCAATATATTATTTCAATCATCATTTTGTTTTATGACCAGCATATAATCAACTACTGTAAGTTTCAGTTTATTGCCTAAGGTCATCCAAACGACAATAGAAGCTATTTTGCTGAATATCGCTGACATACAAAAAGCGTCTAGTCATTTGAATGGGCCAATGAACTAGGCCTCATGAGCTACAGGATCCCTCAACAGTTGGAATAAAGGCCAATGCCTCGGTCCTGGCAAAATTTCCCTCATAGCACACTGCATGGTGTTGACGGTCTAAATTGGCCCACTAGGTGCAGACAGGTATGATGTAAAACTCCATTCGCTTCATTTCATTTCAGAAGACAAACTTGACTACCTACAGTATTCCTTGTTATCTGCTGATTGATGGCCACAATAGACTCTGCCAGATTGTGATGAAGTTATCAGTAAGATTTTCTCCCAAACTAATAACATTAAGTAAAGTGATCTGATGACATGGACACTATCTCATCAACTGGTCACTTCTATCGATCTATAAACATGGCGTCCCTCATTTGTTTGAATATGTCTGTGGTCTATCAAACAAATTTTCAACAGCTTAAATCCTTCTTCATCAAGTCCTTAAATTTCATGACGATGTTTATAACAGATGGCAATAGAGATTGTCAAGGAACACAATGATTTCCCCTTTAATGACTGGTGAAAAAGTCCCGAACCTTTCAGAACTTCATTTTTCTACCTCTCATTTTCTTTCGTGTGAGCCATGCAATGTGTGCTCTATGCAAAGCAAAGCATCTTACTTTAATGCATCTAATTGGACCAATGAAGAAACACTTTGCAATGTAATCTTGATCATACAATGGGAACTAAAAAAAGACTGGATAATAACGGCAATCATGGGAGATGACCAGTCAATTAGTTTAGAGTTACCTTAATGACATTGTTTAGCTTCTGTTAGTAACAAACCAGAGAATTCACTCGGGATGAATTTCAATATAGTCGATATCTCTGGGGGAATAATTGTATTCAATATTCCAGCATTTATACCCAACAATGGCTGCCATATTGAATTTCACATTACCTTCTTGAGTAGGTAGACAATTTTATGCTTAAAAGACTACAAAATAAGTCACTTAATAAAATTCCAGTGCTGTTAAAGAATTTCATTTAATAGATTTCTTTAAAGAGTGACAGGAAATTGAAGATTCACTTAATACCGATGCTTCTTTGAGGTAAAAGCTATCATGTCTTCTAGAGATTGATGTAGATTTGCAACTTGTCAATCTATGAGAAAAGACTTGGGGACTACAGTTTACTTTACTTTATCAAACTTGATGTTTCTATTTCGTAGACTAAGTTAATAGAATTTGCTTTTGATATTCAAATCTTTTGCTGATTTATTTTCAGTCAGAGTCGTCAGATATTTTGAGAATTTTTCATATTTCATGAAATATCATTGGAATGAAAAAAGTACTGATAATATCAGAATGACATTGCTATGAAGAAAATATAAACAAATAATCATTTAGAATCTGGTTTCTACAAATATATCTATCAAAAATAAATTTAATAGACAACAAGTCATTCTAATGCAATACATATCTATTCCATTCACTTATTAAGGTAGGTTGTTTGGAATATGGAACGGGAAGGCCTATATATATTTGACAATTTCCATCAATATATATCCATCAAGGATTTGACAGATAATGATTTCTGAAAAGTAGCCAGATCAACAGAATCCCATGATTTATATGTCAATTGTAGCAATGAGTCTTTCATTATAAAGCCATTATCTGAAAAACGACCAGATATTCCACGGGAATCGATCCATACAAATGGTGCAATATTATCAGTAGACAATGTCAATAAAAACTCGGTAGATGATACCATTGCTACATCAACAATCTTGATGTTAGACTTGGGTATTCTACCCTGAATGTCTGTAAAATAGGCTAAAGGTAACCATGATGTACTGGTTGGATTCACTTTAGAATTAAGAGAAAAATAAAAGAAGCAATCTCTCTTATCCTTGCAACCTGCATCAGATAAAATGTTATCTAAATTATTCTGGAAAATACACCCAGATGTCTCATTTAAATTAAACTGTTTTTCCCATGATTTTATTGGTGTCATGTTCTTCCATGTGTACAAGTCCATATACAGTGTCCCTTCTGACGCTAATATGCTCTTCTTTAATTGTTGGTGCATATCATTAGTATCATATTTGCTGGTTATCATCTGTCGTAGATGTTTCATCGGACGGAATACAATTTTCTGATTATCGGAAAGCTCATCTTTATAAATTGGAATTTCATCCAAGACTAAGAATACTTTCAATGTATCTTCATCAACATAAGGTGAAATCAGGTTAGGATCAAAGAATTTTCTGGCATAATAATGTAGCATTTTCCATTTTATATCATAATCTGAAGAATAAAAGAGGAATAACTTAAATTAGTCACAATAACAATTATAAATCAATAGATCTAAGAAGAAAGTTTTTTTGAGAAAAAAAAACAGAAACATTATTCAGAATTTCTTCAATAGGTGATTTGCTTGAAGATCTAGTCTAAAAATTTACAGCAACATACCAATTGAAGACCATGATGGTCCCTGCCAGATGTCATTTAACTGCCAATAAAGAGCACCCATAGTGTGTCCTCGCCCATCAGACTGCAGTTGATTTGTCCATCTTCTATAGTGTTCAATTTCAGTTCTCATTGCCACAGCATGATGTATCTGTATCACATATATCAAATCTTCAAACTGCTGCTTTGGATTGGTAGAGTTAGGTAGTTGTATATGTATCTTAGTGAGATTTAACATTATCTCATTTCCACCAACATTATGTTGTCTGTGGAGAGACATAGGGGAATTATACGATAGATCAGCTTCACTTAAAACCTTTTCTATGGTTTCAAAATTACACCAAGATTCAGTTCCAAACTCTGATGCGAATCGAGGGATGTCAAGTACACTAATATCCCATAAATCAGCACTATCATTGTAAAAATGTACATCACCAAAGAAGTCAGACTGAGGATTCTTTGCAATCCAACCCTCCTTTTCTGTTTCTGGCCCATTTGAAGGACTAGATGATACAAAGGGTCTTGATGGATCCAGTAGAGTAACGACTGGTTTAATTGTATCGATATATAAGGTCAAATAGTCTTTTTTATACTGATCACCTTGATACTCATTGAGGATTTCATTATTTTCATTATTACCAGACCATAATATAATGCTTGGGTGAGTTTTTAGTCTTCTAACCTGATGATTGATCTCATTTTGTACAGAAGCCAGAAATTCTTTTGTGGAGGGATATAACGCATCACTAAACATCAGATCATGCCATAACATAATCCCAAGTTCATCACACAGTCCGTAGAACTCTTCACTTTCATACACGCCACCTCCCCACACTCTCATTGAATTGATATGGACTTCTACTGCTGATCTTAGTAGTCTCTCCAATCTTGTCTTGGTAACTCTTTCCAGGAAACTGTCAGCTGGTACCCAGTTAGTTCCTTTAAAAAATATTGGTACATTGTTGATTTTGAAGTAGAATGTCACACCATGAGAAGAATTATCAGAGACTGGTTCTTGTACCAATTCCAGAGATCGAAAGCCAATCCTTGTACTTGTCTGAGCCATAATCTGTTTTTTGTCAAATGTAACAAACTTCACTGTAAGATTATATAGTGCTTGTTCGCCATAGCCATTTGGCCACCAGAGATCTATGTGTGTTCCTTTGGGAACATTGAAGTTAAAATAGATGTCACTATACACAGGAGAAGACAGGAGATGCACATGGGAAAGATTGATCTTATCCAGGGTCGTTTCAACTAAACCAGAAATATTTTGGCTGCTGATATCTAAGTGCAGTGTAATATGAATCACCCAGTTTTGATCTGCATCTAAAATTGGTACAGCAGATAATCCTCTGACAACAGCTTCATCAAAATATTGAATAGATATATTTCTCCATATACCTTGAGTAGGGAATGATGGTGCCCAATTCCAACTAAATGAACACTGTTCTTTACGAATAAAGTTAATAAAGCATTCTCCATTTTGAACTATATTAGGACAGCTGGGTGGTATTGTATAAGCTGATTGGTTGTTTAATTGAGAAGCTATATTTACTGCAGATTTGAAATCAATTGTAATATTGTTCAATCCTGATTTTAGAGCTTTTTTCACATCAAACACATATCTGAGAAACATATTCTCAGACTCACCAATTTTCACACCATTGACAGTAATAAGAGAGAAAGTATCTAGTCCTTCTGCCACCAAAACAACTGCCTGCTTAGACATGACCTCATCAGAAATCTCAAACAATCTGGTATATGTCCAATCATCTCTGCCAATCCACCTATATTGTACATCATTATCCCTGAAGTAAGGATCACCAATAGTTTTATTACCTATGAGAGCTGTATATACAGACCCTGGTACCTCACCACTGATTCTATAGCCTTTATTCACATTGATAATATCCCATCTACCATTTAGATCTAATGTTTTCTGGTTTATACCTGTAACTGATGAAAAAAGTGAAAACAGAACACAAACACACCAACACTTAGACATTTTGGCTGACCTAGTGAAACGGTTTATCTGTTGACTATTACCAAATGATAACTAATATTGATAAAGTTAAACATACATTAAATCTTGCTTTGAACTTTGGATGGCTGTTTATAATATTTGACTATATATAAGGACTTAGATTCTGAATAGCACACTACATGGCCGTTTTCATTATCTCACATGGTGAAGAAAAGTAGGACGTAAACACTTTATTCATTCATTCATTTATTAGATTCTGAATAGAAAAAGAATTGAGGTTGTTGGTTACTATATATAATGTCTAAGTCACATCCAGCTGACTATGTAAAATAGGCCTGACTTAAATAGCAGACAACATTTTTGAAAAGGACAAATCCCTGACTTTGTTTCTAAATTCAAACGTGAATGATTCTGATATACGTATTTTGAGGGCAAAATGATAGTAGTAAAAATACATTTTGAGCTTGAAGAATGACTGAAGATTTGTCTAATATATGGAGGGGGATCGTTGCCAGAAGTATTTACAAAGTCAAACTTGAAAACAAGGCCTCGACTTTACAAAGTCATATTTCAACATTACACAATTACAAAATAAACCTTCCTAAAATCAAAAAGTCAATGTACTAATTCTTTGTATTCTTGACTTTGCATTCGTGAAAGATGTAAGTTCGACCACTGTATTCTTGAGAGTTGTAAAGTCAACTTCTGCATTCTTGAACGTTTATAAGGTAACGTGACCTACTTCATTTACATAATCCGGAAATTCACAGAAACTAACGGAAATATAAATCAATAATTGCTCCTTGCCAAAGGGATTTAATTCTCTTTTATAAACTTAATGAAATTAAATATTTCTGTATCAGTTTAATTAATAAGATATTATATGATCAGTATGGTCAATATTGGAGAAATATGGTTGTTATTCGTTTGATTACTTCACATTCATTTTAGCAGTCATGTATTGAGAGTGAATTTGTATTTTAAATCAATCCAACTTGAAACTGAAACATTATATGATGTAAACAGAGAAACATTATAAAACACTTACTGTAATGTTTCCATTCCAGCAATTTTCAAAAAGATGATGTCCAATTCTATTTATATAAATGGAACTGTACACATATGGGGGTTGGCTGAAAAGTTCAAATCCTAAATGGGACTTCTCAATCAGATTGAAAGAAACTTTTACAACAAACTAGTACAATCATTTAATGAATCAAAGACAAGAACTGCAACTGCAGTGTTATCTTTGTCTAGTGAAATTGACATGGTCCTTTTCGACTGTAGAAGTGGGTTGTGGAATTCAAGCATGGCAGTGAGAACCTTGATGTTGATCCCAGAAGGCAACCAATCAAGAAAACATTACCCACGGACATGACTTCAACGATTGACCACTTAACATACTATCAGTGATGTGGACATCTCTCATGAGAGGATTGAGCATATTATCACTTAAGAGTTAAGAATAACAAAAGATTCTGAAAGACCGGATCTGAAATGTGCCAAATTTCTGACGTTGACAATTTATGCTTGATTTGTAACCATGTAGTTACACTATGAATACTTTTTGAGGGTGGATGAAGAAAATGTCTTCTTGATCAACATCCAGGTCTTACAGCATTTCTGACAAAAATATGTAAAGGGGACTATGTATTTATACCACTAAGCAAAAATTTGATCACAAACTTATAACTGAGGTATATGAATGAATATCTAATCAATAAACTTGTACTTAATCATCATTGTTCAGTTTTATAGATAAATGTTCTGTTCAACTGTTGATAATATATGTTAGACACTTTAGAATAGATTATCATCTACATATTCATCTATTGTCTGGGAGGTTATAATTTATTTGTTTCCACGTCATCGAAAAACTACAAAATATTATATGATTGCACTCTACTACTTATTTGATCACATGTCTAAAATAGTCTATCAAATGGTAAAAAATTGCTGCTTTGTCAGAGTATGAAACCTAATGAGCTCATGAGTACAAAAACAATCAATTGGTAACTTGTTCTACAGGCAATCAGTATTTTCAACTTAGAGCTGTTATATTCAGAACAAGGCTATTTGTGGCCAATATGGAAAATTACATAAACTGCTTCTTTAATAGTATGACTCCTACCTTACTGTTTAAAATGTTAACAAGTGTTATTAAAATTGTCTATTGAAGACAAGGCTAGTTTGTTTTGGATTATTGTTCTAACAAAGTCAAAGATCTCCCGAAGTCGAAAATGATCTAAACAAAATGATAATATTCAAGTTGTTATTAGATAAGAATTAGAGAATATGAAAAGAAGAATTATGCAAGAAGTTTATTGATCAATGCTAATACAGAACAACAAGCTTTCTGGCAAGGCACAAGACACTTCTTCCATGAATTATCATGTCAATAAGGTCGGGGTTATTCTAACCAGCCAGAAAATGCAATAATAACAGAATCATCCCCAGCATATTAACATCATTAAAACTGCCAATACTGACAAGGCTCACTATGGATAGAAAATTTGAGAGACAACAGTGTGCAGCATTTTTTTTCTGAAAAGGGATTTTAATTTGATTTGAAGCACTCAACTTTCTACAAAAGTAACCTAGTGTAAAGATAATTTTGCATTAAAATGGATGTGTTATACAAATTGCATAAGCAATTTGGTTGATAAAGTAATTCTATTTTGCAAGTTACAATAAACCTTATGAGAATGTTATTCATTGGGCATGTAATACACCACAAACTTTATGATTTAAGTAATATCTAAATGGTACCAACACTTTAATGCCCTGATTTCTTTTGAATAAATGACACACATTTTAAATACCTTCAAGCCTTTTACTTCATAACTCGCGATGTTTCTAGATCTTCTTAAAAAAAACTAATCTTACATTATTGATTGTGAGCATGAGATGTTGGAAACAGACCACCAACTTGTAGTGCTATATAAACCACAAAACCCATCAGAAATCAAGAAAACTGATTGAGTTAGAGATAACGATGACCTAGCGTAAGGATTAAAGACATGTCTGACCTCTTTACATCACTTATAGGAAATAATACACCAGTTTTAGCTCAGTTAACCAAACGGCTTTGCTTGAATTGGCAAAATATGTTTTTAATTTGAAGAGAAAAGAAAAAGCATCAATAAAACAGTGTTGTGATTTTCATCATTTTAGATCAGAGAGGCCCAAACTAGACAGTAAACTATGAATTGAAGAAAAGTTTCACAGTTCCTTTGAACTTCTCATGATCAAAACTGAAATGGAAAAAATATTATTCTGCATCCTACATGTTCTGTAGTGAGAAAAGCCTTTGTAAGACAGCTGCACCATGTTTGTTTCAAATTCTGATCAATATATCAGATTTTGACTGCTCTCTACTATTATAAACCAATTCAATGGTATAGAACATTGGAGTAAAGAGTATTCATGCGTAACTGTACACAGACCACAACTGAAATATAATTAAATTTATTACCATAGCCATATTTTAATTTATTAGTATATGAGTATTGTCTGTTGCTCTTGTCTACCTATCTATTAAAACCATTATTATATTATTAGTTATACCATAGTTTATACAAAAGTTGATAAATAACAAACAATATAGACATTATTACTCTTACTCTCTAGAGAGATGGTAATGATTGAATATATAAATAAAACATAACAAGACAATCAATAAACCCAATATAAATAACTTACATTTCTAAATGGCGTTAACTTCAGAACCATTATGTCACAATGACATGTCCAAATAAAAACCGAACTCCAATACGTCTAAAATTCTTTGATCAAGATTATATGAATGACCAGGGTGTTTGTTGCAACCCTGAGGGTCGAAAGTTATATTCTGCTATAAGTTAAACTAAGAACTTCAGATTATCAAACATTTTTTGTCCCCCTTGAGAGATAAAGCCTTACGAAACTACTTCACAGTCCTGTCAAGTGCACAAATGTAGGATGACAATCTGCATTTCATTTCTGACAGTTAAATAGTTCTCTGGACTATAAAATATGGAAACCTTTTTGAAGGAAATCGGAAATGGCCGATTTCCAGGAATCCATAACATATTTATAGCCTGGGCTTATTTCTACTAGCAATATAATATAAGCTATCCAGAACAGTGAAATGGTCATGTTCAGGTCAAACTGACTATACAATCTTTAATTAATGGGTTTGTAAAATCATTCTTTAATTTACGAGGCCATCACCATTAAATAATTATTTTGGGATTGTTCCATCCTGCCATATATAGTCATTATTTCTGCTTGGTAATTGGCATGGCAACCAGCAAGGGACCAGACCAGACAAGAAATCAGGAATAATTAACTTTCCATTATTCTTAAATGATTGCTCTATTCCAAAGTAATTAAGGACAAATCAGATACAGCTTGCCTTTTCTGGTAATTTCTAACTGCTTGAAGTTTAGCAGACAGTTTAACCCAAAGCAAGACATATATGATAAACATTAGCCTTTGGGTTAAAATTTCAACACAGATTGCGGGGTAGTTTGTGGCTTGAAGTTAAGAACTTTAAGCAGTCAGAATTAATCAGTGAAGACTCTAAATCTTAAGATGTTAATAACTGATTAACTTCTTCTTCTAATCCTAGTTACTGAATTCTATAAATCACATCTGCAGGTGTCTTTTATCCTCATATCACAAATTATTTCTTTGTTTCAAAACAAAATCAGAAGATTGAAAATTGAACTTCTTTTATCATCAGAAATAGAAAAAATATCTTAAAATATAATGTTGATTAAAGTTCTTATTCAGAACTCAAAGTGCAGACAAGAAAACAAGTACAACTTGTCAAACTTCAGTAAGGAAACAACCTGAAATAAGTCAGTTGTCTGAAGATCACACAGCGTGAAACTCAGTTCAGGTTCTGCTTTAATATTCCTATATATTTTATATATTGCAGACTACATATGATATGCTACCTAAAAGATTATACTATTTTAATATGATTATACACACAAAAATGGGAAAGAGCACAGTAAAATAATGAACTGTCTATTATTGAAAGAAAAACATTGATTTTTGTGTTGAGTTTTGATATTACTATGAAATATGTCTTGAGGACATAAAACCAGTTGACATTATAACAACACTGGCATCAATTCATGTATGTTTCAAAGTAAAAAAACTATAGGTCTGCAGAAAAATCAATAACTGTGACAATCAACTG